GTTGAGGAGGGCTAACGGGGGAGTGACTGCCAATGGGTAGGGAGTTTCTTTTTTGGAGGTAATAAAAATTTCTAAACTCAGATTGTGGGGATTCTCTCACAACTCCGTGACTGTACTAAAACCATTGAATGGGGCAGCCCGGGTGGCTCAGCAGTTTAGTGCTGCCTTCAGCCCAGGGCCTGATCCTGGAGACCCAGGATCCAGTCCCACGTCAGGCTCCCTGCATGGAGCCTGCCTCTCCCTCTCCCTCTGTCTCTCATGAATAAATAAAATCTTTAAAAAAAAATTAAAAGGAATAAAAAAATAGTTTTAAAAAAAACCCATTGAATGGTACATGTTCAACAAGGGAACTTTATGGTGTGTAAATTATATGTTGACAAATATGTAAAAAACAAAACAATGTATCAATAATGTCGGAAGAAAAGATGTATGGTTATGGTGGGGATGGGAAGGAATGCATAGGATGAAGATGTTTGACTAGATAAGAAAATAATTCTTAACTCCTTAATCCTCTTTCATTCCCACTCCCATCCCTTTACTCTTATTTAAAAATAATTCTTTTTAAACGGACACATTTTCAAAACTAAGCAAATTAAACATATTTCCTCAATATATTTTGTCAGTATTCATCTTCCCACTTCCAACATCTTTCAGTAAGATTTTGCACATCAGCTACATTAAATAACCCACGAGTTCCATTTTCTTCCTTCTGAAGAATCCCTGTGGGAAGCCTCGGATCCTGGTCCTTCCTCTTCAAGCTCCAGGCACGCTGGGAGCACTCACTCCTCAGCGCTCCCCGCTCTCAGTCTCCTCCTGGAGACTTCTCACTTCTGTTGTTTTCTGTCAGCTTTCTGGAGCATATTCTCTCAACAGGAAAGGCTGCAGGGGAAGGCATTTTTCCCCCTAATTTTTAAGGATCTGAAAAAATGTATTTTCTCCCACTTACTTGAAATTTTGTTGCTTATAGAATTTCAGGTTGCAAATCATTTTGCCTCAGAATTTTGAAGGAGTTTCTGCAAGGTCTTCTGGTGTGCTGTGTTGTTTTGTGAGATGTCTGATGCAATTTTCCTCCACTTCCTGTGTATATGTGACTTTTTTCTCTTTGGCATTTTTTTTTCTTTTGTCAATTTTAACATTTGGCAATTATTACATTAGAATTAAACAACAAATTTCTCTCCGTGCATGCCATTTAACTGCTTCCAAAGAAAGATCTATTATCTCCTTTCTAAATTTCTGGGTTTGAACTGCCTGAGTCCACTTACAAGTGGATTTTTTTAATGCAGTACAGAACTGGAAATTTATTTTTTTTCTTATTTTTTTAAATTGTAGTTGACAGAGTGTTATGTTAGTTTCAGGTATACAACATAGTGATTCAACATTTCTATAGATTATGTAAAACTGGTGTGTGTAGTAACCATCTGTCACTAGAAACTTTTTTAGAGTTTTATTTGAGAAAGAGAGAGAGAGGTGCGGAGTGGCAGAGGGAGAGGGAGAGAGAAACTTTAGCAGTCTTCTGTCCAGAGTGCAGAGCTTGATGTGGGGCTCGATCCCATGACTCTGAGATCACAACCTGAACCAAAACCCAAGTTAGGACCTTCAACCAACTGTGCTATCCAGGGATCCCTGACACTAGAAACTTTTTAGGAGGACTCTTTGTTCTAAAAAGTTATCAATATGCCTTTATTATACTGGATCTCTGTTAAGCTTTTTCTTTTAGATCCCTTAGTTTTGTAAACTTTCTTTGGTAATGTTTCTTTGAAACTTTCTTCTTCTATTTTCATATTTTCAGGGGCCAGAGACTCCCATTAAATTCTGAGCTTCTTAGAATCTTTTTCTTTTTAATAGTTGTCGCCTTTTTTTGTTCAGTTCCTTGTAAAGTTCCTTTGTAAAGTTTTTGTTGTTGTTCAGTTCCTTGTAAAGTTCCTTTGTAAAGTTCCTTGAATTTTAGTTTCAAGAGTTCGTTCTAGATTTTTATTTTTTTTAGGATTTTTATTTATTTATTCATGAGGGACACAAAGAAAGGGAGGCAGAGACAAAGGCAGAGGGAGAAGCAGGCTCTGTGCAGGGAGCCCGACGTGGGACTCGATCCCAGAACCCCAGGACCATGCCCTGAATGGAAGGCAGATGCTCAACCACTGAGGCACCCAGGTTCCCCACACTACATTTTTAATTGTTCATTTTCACTAACTAGCTGATCATATTCCATGAAATCCTGATTCTAGTTCTAGCTTGGGGCAGATTAGATTATAAAGTTTTAAAAACAAGAGGTGATTATAGGTACATGTGCAGGTAAATGTTACATTCACTTGCTGATTACTAAAATCACTTATTGGGATATCTGGGTGGCTCAGCAGTTCAGTGCCTGTCTTTGGCCCAGGGCGTGATCCAGGGTCCCAGGATTGAATTCCACATGGGGCTCCTATGGGGAGCCTGCTTCTCCCTCTGCCTGTATCTCTGCCTCTCTCTCTGTGTCTCTCATGAATAAATAAAATCTTTAAAAAATAAAATAAAATCGCTTATTCATTAAGCATATTTACTTAGCATTATGCCATGCACTGAAGGACAAAAGGGGGACAAAAAGAAAAGTGAACTGGTAAACCTCGTTGCAGGTTAAAGAAAGAAGATAGCATTAGAAAGGGGGAACTGATATTGGAGTGCACCTCTGTGCTGTGGTGGTGACGTCCACCTCTCGCAGATAGAGATGGGGGCTCAAATAGTCAAAAGCACAGCCTGAGTCAGTCAGTAGTGAAGTAGACATTCTGTCCAGGTCTGAGTGGAGTTTCTCCTCTCACCACTGCACTGTGTTCCAGACACTTTAAAGTCACTCTCAAAGCACAGAAGTTTACTGAGGATGCAGGGACATAGTCTAGAACCCACTGAACCTGTCTCGGGCATTAGAAGAATTAAAGGCCTCCCCGCCCCCACTTGTTACCTCTGCATGTCTGCTTAGCCTCCTGTGCTTTCTAGGTGGGCCTTCCCTGCTCCTTCTGGGCATTCCAGAGCTCCTGTCTTTACATATCACAATCCCAATTACACAGAAACTACAATTCAATCTACTTGGCTTGCGTTAGGGCTCTGTGTCTGGTTCAGTTGATTGCTTGTTCCTTGGTATGGTGGTGAGGCAAAAGTTCCCAGGATGAGGCAGGGACAGAGAGGATTGCTGTCATCTTCGATTCTAGAGAGGTACCACTATGTGGGTTCTGAGTGAGCCCACCCTGAAGGGAAGCCAGGGTGGTCACCTACATTATTGAAACTGAAATTGTATTTCTTCACCATATTCGATGTTCTATTCACATGCAGCTTTCTATTTTGTCCTTTAAAGTAACAATTTGAAGGCCACAACTTGATTCCACCTCCCTCCCCCATGTAATCACATTTTGAATGCAGGGGGAAAAGTCTTCTTCTGTGTCTGACCTATATGTAGATAACCAAATACTTTTAACACTCATGGGTAAAACTTAGCTCAAAGTCACTCCCAAAGTTGTATCAGGTTGTTTTCCGTAGTGTGCATTTATTTTGAAATAATAGCTGATTTTCAGATACTAAGTCAATATAGGATAGTCTTAGACCAAGTTGTGACCACTACATTCCAACTTAATCATACAGTAGGAGTTACTTTTTTGAGTGTGTCCTGCCATTCATTAAATACCAAACTGTATCTTTGTTGGAAATTACACATTCCTCATTACTATATATTCCAGTGACATCACCAGCTAACAATACAGGGTTTAAAAAGAACACAAAATACCGCATGCCTTTAGTAAGGCTTTGCTTTTCCAGTAAGCAGTTCAGTTACACATCTGCCGAAGTTTGTTTAAAGGAATATAATTCTCAAAGTTTGCTGAAAGTAAATATAATTCTTGATCATACACTGTTTGGAGCATAAGCACAGTTCACTGTATACAAGAGATGCTTTACATCACAAAGGAGGCTGAACTTACGAGGTGCCCAAAGAAAGGCTGCCAGTGGCTCCCGGCTCCGGCTGGAAGGCAGAGGTCAGACAAGGAAGCATTATGATCTACACATCACATACCAAGAGGTCCATCTATGTTCTCTCAAGCACCTGATACCCTGGGTCCCAAGAGTCTAAAGACAGTAGTAAGGAAATGTACAATGGCAATTCACAGACTTTAACTCAAAAACTCCAAAGAGAAAATGCCTAATGGAAAAAAGAGTAGACATAAAAATATGATATGCAGTTAAACATATTTAATAGAAATATTAAAATAATCATTACATTTCCTCGTGCTGAAACCATGAAAGAATATCACTTTGTAACCAAAGTAATAATTTTTATCATGCAAAAAGGTATTTTTGTTATTAACATTCATAAGTAGAGATGGTACTTCAAAACAAGTTTATACAGACTTCAAAAAGGTCTATCTAGACTTACAGTGAAATTTATTTAGATACTATTACAGTTACACTGTATGCTGCTGGCATATGCATATTCACAGTTTATAAAGTAAAAAAACTAAACTTTTAAAGTCAGCTCTGAAATGGATGCATTTTCATTAATACATTCACTAGTTAGGTCTGTTCTAAAACAGGAGGAAAGACAGATATGGGAGATATTTTTTTAAAGAACAAACTCAACAATATCAGCAGCAAATTTCAGTTAAACTAAATTGGAAATGAAAGGAATGTTCTGAATAACTAAAGTACAAAGTTGGTTTACCAGCTGAGATTGAAAATCAGAGTATAAATTGGAAGGCTCAAGGAAACTTTACAGAGTATACTGTGTGGTGATTTTTTAATAAATAAATATTAAAAATAGAATTCTCAGATTTATGATTTAAGAACACAATTTTGATCTTGTCCATAAAATATATTCAGAGGCATCGAAGGCAGGTAACACCTTAAGACCTGTGAAAATGTGACACTGACCTCTAAGGTGTCTTCCTGAAGTTCCTCGTGATGGAGAGTGTATGGAGCTGCTTGTCTGCTGAATCATGGGAAGCACCACTCTCATGTTAGATACAATGCTGAATGACACAGTCAATGTTCTGATAAGTTTTTATTGGAGGAGATGGAAAAGAATTCTCAAAACAGATTCATGGCTTAAAAGTAGGTGAACCCTCTCAAGAGCCTGGAGAGACACCATGAAATCACCCCAAGGTAATGAGCTGGTCCCCTATGTTCATGTTCCATGTCATAGCAGCCAACACTAGGGCTTCTGATAACATAGTGAGTTTTGAGTTATATATATTTTAGAGAAGAAAAAATAGTTCATTTTACTAAATAAAATGTTAGTTTCATAATTAACTGCACATATTTGCTTTATAATCCCTTAATAAACATGTCAATTTTATGAATAAAGCATTTTCCTTCATATTCTAATTAACAAATTTTCTTTAACAATTTATAATAATAATCTATCTGCACGTTTGCTCTTGCAATAAATAGTCCTGTAACATTATTTTCAAAATCTAAATTCCAGTTGGTACTGTACCAAAATTTACTTCAAAATTCACAGTACTGCCTAGATACAGGCGGGTCCTGAGGCTCCACAGAGGGAAAGAGTGACTTTGTTCTTGGTGTTTTCATCTGGCAGCACGCTTGGGAGGTCACAGAGTTAAAGCGCTGTGGACTGGTATCAACACTTCAGGCTGCTGAAAAAGTACTTCATACTTTTACTTCAAGTGGAGACTTTTTAAATACATCTGACTTACATATGTACAAATACACGTAGATGTGAATACATACACACACACTTTTGGACAAAAGAATGACAGCAATATACATGAAACTTTTTTGCCAAATGGATTCTATTTGGTTAATAAATAATGTTTTCCCATCAGTCTTATCGAAGTCCAGACCAACTATGTAGATAGGATGCCCATCCGGAGGAACGAGAAGCATTTTCTTCCTCACCTTTGAGGAGTTAAAAAAAAAAAAAAAAAGAAGCATTAATCTTCTCATACCATACTTTGATGTTACAAATCTGTTCTTGAACTTTCTGTATTTGTCTTTCTACATTAGATATCCAAAATAAAGTCCCCAGCACAGCTAAGTATTACTGACAATAAGGGGAATTTGTACATTCTTTTAAAACAGAAGCTTTTACATAACTTAGAATCTAAACTCCATAAATGTGTGGTAAACCGCAAAACTAAACCAAGTCAAAAAACCCCGTTTTTAGTCATTTTGCTATCAGGTATATTGAGGTATAATTTACTTATAGTGCAATTCATCCTCTTTAGGTATAGCATCACCATCCTCAATTTTTGCCCTTTCTAGAAAGCCATATAAATTGGATCACATCATGTATCTTTTGAGCGTGCTTTCTTTCACTTTGCAGGATGCATCTGAGACTTTTCCGTGTTCCTGTGGGTATCAGTAGTTCATTCCTTCTTACTGCTGAGTATGATTCCACTATGTGGCTTTACCAGTTTGTTTTATTCATTTACCAGTGAAGGATATCTGCATTGTTTCTAGTTTTTCTAATTTAAAAGAAAGCTGCTATAAACTGTTGGACACTACATCTGAGACTAATGACCAGAGCTGAAGGCAGACACTTCATTGTCTGAGCCACCCAGGTGCCCCAAGATTCACCCTTTTAAATGTATAATTCAGTGGTTAGGTTTATGCAGTTTTTTCTTTGTGTGTGAACACAGGCTTTCATTTCTCTTGGATAAATATCTCAGAGTGGGACAGTTGTTATACAGTGAATATGTTTAACTTTATAAAAAATGCCAAACTTTTCTAAGTTGTATCACTTCGTTTTGAGTGTTCCAGTTTCTATCTTTTTTATGATCAACACAAACAAATCCTATCATAAAATTCAGAAAAATTTTGGGCTTCCAAGAAAATTTTAGACAAGGCCTCCTTTACTCTTTTCTTTTATTTGTATATAATATATATAATTTGAAAGTTTTACAACCCTAAAAAAAAAGTAAAAATCTCATTACATGTCCTCTCCCTCCTCCTTTCCCTTCCTCAGATATGACCATTAAATTCAATATGCTCCTTTCCAGACGCCCTTCTGCGTTGTCAAGCATACATACGAATCACAAATGATCTCATGCAGAGAAGCACTTCCAAAATCTTAAACAGAGAACTTCCTATAGTTTACAAACCATTTTCATTTCTTTTTCTGTTCACTGGTTTTATCCATGTATTAGTTATGAACTGCTGTGTAACAAACTACTGCAAGCTTATCAGCTTACATCATCATACATACATACATTAAACAGCATACATCATCTCAGTTTCTATGGGCCAGGAGACCAGGCCAGGAGGGCTTAGCCAGATCCTCAGGCCACCCGCAGGCTGTATCCAAGGTGTTGGCCCACAATGGGTCTCATCCGAAGAACTGACTGGAGAAGTATCTGCTTCCAAGTTCACGTGGTATGTGGCAGAATTCAGTGCCTCAAGGGCTCGTGGACCCACAGGGTCAGTTCCTTGCCACGTGGCCTTTTTTCCCCCTAGGATTTTACTTATTTATTTGAGAGATAGAGAGCGTGAGCCCCAGAGAGGGGGGAGGGCTGGAGGGAGAGAGCGAAGCAGGTTCTCCACAGAGCAGGGAGCATGACGCAGGGCTGGATCCCAGGGGTCCTGGGATGCTTAACTGACTGACCCACCCAGGCGGCCCCACATTGGCCTCTTTAATAATGTCAGCCTGTGAGTGAGTGGAGAAGGCAGAGTCTGCTGATGAGACAGAAGTCACAATCTAACCTAATCGTGGAGTGACACCCTGTCACCTGTGCTGTATTCTACTGGTTAGAAACAAGTCACTAGGCCAGCCTAATGGCCACTTAAGGCAAGAAGGTTACATAAAAGTGTGAATGCCTGGAAGGCACTGTTGTGGCAAAAGACTTTTTAGAAGTTAGTCTTCCCACAGTCTGCATGGTGAAGAGCTTCTAGAAAGCCAGGGGAAATGATATTGTTAAGCGATGGAAAACTGGGCACTGACTTTGTGTTCTCCCATCAGAGGAGGCAGTGGCCTTGCTCCCCAGAATGATGAGAGCCAGGTACCTGCATTTCCTAAACAAAATGCACAGATCGCTGTGTGTTCATCTGGAAGGAATGGTGCACTTAGAGAAGTCTTGTGACACAACAAAAATTCAGCCGTATCTCAGATCTGGCAGGACTCGGCCCTGTGCAATGTCCTGGCAGCCGTTCATGTCCTCAGGTAAATAGGGACCAAAGACAGGCTGAGATAGTGTGCATTTGTGCTCCTGCCCTGAGTAATTGCTCTTTTATGATAAGATTCTAAGTTCTTTGCAAACCAAATCAGACACAGTGAGTATGAGTGTGTTCTCTTCCTGTCAGTCTGGAGATGATCAAAAAGCTTGATAGTCTTTGCCTTTGTCCTACTGAAATTGTTGGGCCTTTTTCCTCCTTTTTCCCCCTTAATTGAGGTAAAATTGGTATATAACCTTCTATTAGGCTTCAGGTCTTTTTCCTCTTTATTTACTTCTACAGAGTATGAGACTCTGGTAATACTGTATAGTAAGTAACAATACACAGCTCTGTAAATTATAACCTTGTTGGGGAGCAAAGAAAGATGGAGAGAACCAACTTTCAGTTCTTACTTGAGAAGCAGAGTTGAGATTCCAATCTTGCAAAGAGAAGCACCACATGCCTGCATTATTTAGGGCGTGAACCCTGCTCACCTCAAATTGTGTCTAAAGAAGACAACATCAGAGACTGTAAACGGCCTTTTGTCTTTAAGGCCTTGGTAGAGAAATGTCCTTTGGTCTGGCTGGTGAGGCCCAGGACCCTTATCCATAGCATGGTGACAAGTTTCCTGTTCATGACATTCCTTCCTGCATCTCAGACCTTTCACTTAGGTTTTCCTTATACACGAAGTACATTACATTGCTGAACATTTCCAAGGGAGGCAAATTCTTAGATTCCATTGGAAAAGATCTTGAAAAATACTTAAGGTTGAGTTATTCCTTACAGCACACTAAAGACAGAACTTCACCAATGCTGCTGAGAAGTCCACTGTGAGCCAATCACTCCTTTAAAGGTGATGAGGCAATGGGTCTTCTTTTATGATTTTTCTCTGGCCTTTTTTGGCATAAGTTTCACTTTTATGTGAAGAGGCAGACTTCCTTTTATTTATCCTACTTGAAATTGTATGGAGATTTTTTTCAAATGCGTGGATAGATGTCCTTCAACTCTGAAAAATTTTCATTCTTTTCAAATACTGTCTCTACCTCATGCTTTCCTCTCCTCTCCTTCTAGAACTTTATTAAATATATGTTAGTTGTCTTCATTCTATCCTCTATTACCCACTCTCTGGGTAGAGTTTTCTTCCATTAATTCCTTTGTTTCTCTATGCTGAATTCTTTTTTTTTTAAATTTTATTTATTATTCATGAGAGAGACAAAGAGAGAGAGAGGCAGAGACACAGAAGCAAGCTCCCTGTGGGGAGCTTAATGCAGGACTCGATTCCAGGACCCCAGGATCATGACCTTTGGCTCAGACACACAACCACTGAGCCACCCAGGTGCCCCTCTCCATGCTGAATTCTAAGTAATTTCTTCTGACCTATCTTTCAGTTCAGTAATTCTCACTTAAGCCATATCTCTATCTGCTACAAGACCATAACCCTTTTAATTCAATTTTTTTATAAGTCTTTTTTTGTTTGCTCACATAGATAAAAGAAGTGAGTAACTTTTCAAAGGTACATTAGTTTGCGTTTAATAAGGGTGGCGGCGGGGGGTGGAGGGGGTCCTTCCTATACACTTAAAGGACTTAGCAAAAAACCTATCTCAGAGTTCTGGGTTTCTAATGAACTTCTTATATGCCCCCTATGGGATGATCAATAATATCTGTGTTACTAGGACTCTTAGGTTAGTCTCTTTGAGATCTTTTAATTAACATATCCTCAACTTACACGAGCCACTTGAGTGTTAGAAACATCTATATTACATTAAACATGCTAGGTTTTTAGAAAGACTATTAGATATGCTAAATATTTTGAGATCGTATCATTTAAGTATGTTTTAATTAAAAATACACATATCCAGGGATGCCTGGGTGGCTCAGTGGTTAAGAGTCTGCCTTCAGCTCAGGGTGTGATCCTGTGGTCCCAGATCGAGTCCCACATTGGGGCTCCCTGCAGGGAGTCTGTTTCTCCCTCTGCCTGTCTCTGCCTCTCTCTGTGTCTCTCATGAATATATAAAAAAATCTTAAAAAAAGAAACATACACATATCCAGGGACACCTTGGTGGCTCAGTGGTTGAGCATCTGCATTCAGCTCAGGTCGTGATCCCGGGATCCTGGGATTGAGTCCTGCACTGGGCTCCCCACAGGGAGCCTGTTTCTCCCTCTACCTGTATCTCTGCCTCTCTCTGTATCTCTCATGAATAAATAAATAAATTCTTTAAAAAAAATACACATATTCCTTCCTAAAGTCCTGGTTAATTTTACAATGAAAAAAATAGTTTTAGCTTTGGCAGAATAAACAAAAAATTAATATATAAAATCAAATATGTAGGGTGCCTGGGTAGTTAAGCATCTACCTTCTGCTCAGGTCATATCTCAGGGTCCTGGGATAGAGCCCTGAGTCAGGTTCTGCATTTAGCAAGGAGTCTCCTTGTCTCTTTCCTCCTGCTCCTCCCCCTGCCAGTGCTCTCTCCCTCTCCCTCTCCCCACCTTCTCTCTCAAATAAACAAAATCTTAAAAAAAAAAAAAAAAAAAAAGGCAACACGACGTTAACCAGTCAAAAGTGGGACAACTAAACATTTTGGGCTTACTGATGTGATGTCTCAGAAAGCATAAAACACTACCTATGAGGGATTTTTGTTTCCCATTCTGTCCAACTGCACCTGGATCTAAAAAGACTTCTGATTTCCTATTTACAGGAAACAATGGAACAATTTAAATGCTATCTCTCAAAGGGCCAAATCCAGAACTGTGTTTCTGTGGGACAAATGACCAGTTCCTTCAACTACTGATTGACATATTACAAAAATGAGCATGGAAATTGAAATGCTATAGCTAACAAAACAAAACAGAGCTTAAGGGACATGAGCCAAATGCAGTGTGTGAGCCCTATTAGGGTGCTGTACAAAGACATCTGCGATAATGGGACACTGAGTGTGAACTGGTGCAGATGGCAGAGGAGTCTAATATACAGTGACGCATTTGCTGGGGAAATCATATGATGTGCGGGATTGGCTTTAGAATCTCTAGCTCTGCTCTTTCCCTGTCAAAAGAAGTCTGAGACCATGAAGACTGTTAAAGATGAGTGAGAATTACAAGGGAGGGACAGCATTCTGCCTGTATGCTTGAAAAGGTCACTAATAACATTTTAAACTAACAAAAATGAAACCATGATCCTTAAGATGTAGTCTGAAATCAGGTAACAACCACAGTTGTATGTGAATCATTTTAAAGGAGTTTATGGGGCAGCTCTGGTGGCTCAGCGGTTTAGCACCTCCTTTGGCCCAGGGCATGATCCTGGAGACCCGGGATCGAGTCCCACATCGGGCTCCCTGCATGGAACCTGCTTCTTCCTCTGCCTGTCTCTCTGCCTCTCTCTCTGTGTCTCTCATGAATAAATAAATAAAATCTTAAAAAAAAAAATAAAGGAGTTTATGAAATCACAGTATTAAATCTATTTGCCACAAAAATCTAAGCTCCAAACAGGAGAGCTTTAAAGCTGTGTCTGCCTTGCGAAATGGGATTGTTGGTATGATATAGACCAACGGTTGGGCAGAAGGGGTGAAGGCGAAGGTAGGGAAGGAGGAGAGCAGGTCAATACACCTTAAACAATTATGATATAAAATAAAAACCACATTCTTTGATACAATTCAATGCTAGAATTAAAAGCCTAATTTTCAAAGATCTAACTACAGTATTGTATATTGATGCATCTTAAAATTTATTATGTACTATAATTGCCCTAAAGTGTTAAAATGTTAGCTTTTCAAATCTAGTTTCAGGTTACATGTATGACAGAACTCACCCAAATGAACAAAATTTAAATGTTTTAAGTCACAATGTCAGGAAAAAGAATGTAAGCACACAAAGTTTCAACCACAAGGCCAACAATTAATATAAGCCATGAAACAGGAGTTCCAATAATTTCCTTTCACCTACCTTGAGCAATTGCAGCCAGTTTTCCCTTTTCCTCAGGACTGAGCTGCAACATTGTATCTATAACAGGAAGGAGTCTCTCTTTCTCACTACCTGGCTTCAAGAAAATGAACTGTAGCAAGACATTCTTCAAGTATTCCAGGTTGGCTACAGATTTTTCTCGTTCCTGATTTCTTTCCAGTCTCCTTATTTCATTTTTGAGGAGCTAATGTTGGAGAAATGAGTTAAAAATGAGTTTTAAAAATGAGTTTTAGGACCTTCAGGTTAATCATGGCAGACTGAACACATTTACTCTTCTTCTCTTCCCCTTGAAAAGGTGACTAGAAAGTCCCCATTGACTAGACTTGGACAGTCACTGATTAGACTTTAGTCAATGACTAGAACGGAGAGATTAGGAGAGAAGAAAAAAATAGATGAGAAATATCAAGAAATTCCTACAAGATGGGAAGCAGATAAAGTGGAAGAGACTCAGCCCAGTGGCTCACAAGTACTACTGACAAGATGACAGAACAGGTCCCGCAGAAACACCAATAAGCTCCTGCCTCAAAGTACAGAGAAGCACGGGAACTACGATTGAAAACAGGACTGGCATCAAGTCTACAGAGGTTGGTACCATGATGCTCCCTTCACCTCCTGTTCTCTACAGAAAGTAAACCAGTGGGCTCAGGGCTGTGGGCTAAGTAACACAGTGTAAAGGGGGCAAGAACAGCTTGAAATCAGGACCAAAGTAAACACCTACATCCACCATAAACCCCTTCCCTGCTGCCCTGCTTATAGGCGGCAGGTAGTTATGGCATCCACTGGGAAGTCATGTTTACAGGATGAACAGTATTTCACCAAAACAAAATCCATGACAGAGTGAAAGTTCAGGAATGTAAGAAACTCTAACACTACCAGAGAAATGGAGAAACATCTGATATGCAAAAGATGGTAGAATGCTAAAGTGTTTGAGGAAGATTTCTGGGTTGAAACAAACAAAAATAGTTGTATTTCATCATTTTAGGTTAGTTCAGAAAAGTTAACCAACTCTGTCCTAAAACCTATAGTCATTTTAAAAAGTGACAACCAGGTCTAAGACACCATTCAAGAATGTAATTTTGTGGAAATATAACATTTGAATAGTCACTTAATTCACTGGGCTAGTTAACAGCTTGTTAGATGGGACAATGTTAGGAAAATGTTATTTTATACACATGCATACTAAAATATTTAGAGGGGAATGTCATAATACATACAATTTACTATGAATAACTGAGTAACTCAGCATTAAAAAATTAATTTAACAAGGAGAACTGAGGCCCTGCACAGAGGGAGGACAGTCTATTTGGAGAAGCATTTAGAGGGCAGAGAAGCATGTGCTTTCCAGACAGACATGAGCTGGAACGTTGCTCTACCATTTATCTCTTACCAGGGATTATGACGATTAAATACAATGATATATGTAAAGCCCAGGACCTGGTTCACGAGAACTCAATAGGTAATAGGACTATATTTGGAGAAATGATTTAGCTGTGAGCCAGGGTGGATTGTTTAACTCTCAACTGCTCCACAATTTGCCTGTTGCCATATGTTTCTACTGTCACCTTTAAATAGGAAGGCTTTCTGTGCTACTTTACTATCTCCACTCACAATCTGTGATAAAAAGTTTAATGCTATAAGCTTGGCTTCATCTGAGAGCCTCTCAGTGCACAAAAAAAATAAAAATATATATATATATATAAAAAAATAACAAGAGCCCGCCTGTGCTGGGGAGGCCTGAGGAGGACGTGGGGATGCGTCCATGCTGATGAGCTGCAGCCTCCTCAGGACCCGCAGGGAGTCTTCAGGGCGACATTGGGCCACATTCACGCTTACAAGAGCCCCATATCCTCAGGACCCGAGGAGCCCGGCTTCCTCAGGATCCCTGGAGGACTCTGGAGGCGCTGTTGGGGGCCACGTCCACATCAGAAGGGACTCCTCAGAACCACAGGACTGTTGTGCCCAAGATTGCGAATCCGAGAAACCACCGAGAAGCCGACACCGATGCAAACACACGAGGGTTGATTTACAAGCTCGAGCTTGTGTCCAAGTAGAGCCCACACAGCAGAGCAGGGACTTGGACCCCAGGGGCCTGGGATGGCTGGACGTATGCTAACACTAAACTTAAAGTGGAATGGCCTTAATTTTCTCAGCCTCCATGTGTCCCATACCATCCTATCTAGCTCCATCCCCCTTCCCCAGAGATCCTAAGAGAGCAACTGCAAATGACGTGGCAGCGTGTGTTGGGGGACAGGCCCAGGGATTTGGGATCAGGAAGACCTGGAACGCGGGCGTCCTGGCTGTGCAGCGGGATTCGATGCTGCAGACTCCTTTTCCCTAAGTTTATCTTGACAACTGACTTTTACATAGAAAAGCTCTCCTTTGTCTTTGAAAGATGAAGAGTGAGTCAAAGCGTTTTTTCTCTGCCCATCTCTGATTGCACAGATTCTAAACTGAGACGTATTTCCCGTTACTAAGGATAATTTACTATCCGTAGTTCTATGGTTAAAATATTCTGACACAAGTAATTCAGAGGGACGAAGGTTGCTCATCTATTTCTTCACAGCTCAGTCACTCATCAGGAAATGCATCTTTATGGATTTGGAAAGAACTGAGAGATATTATTACCAATAGCGTATTATGATGTGAAGGATTCTTCCTGAGATTCTTCCCCTGTTTCAACTGACACTGAAACACTGTGAACACTTTGGAAGACAAATGTCAAGGAAATAAATGTTATGCATTGCTAATTAAAAAAAAAAAAATAACAACAGCCCGCCTGTGCTGGGGAGGCCTGAGGAGGACGTGGGGATGCGTCCATGCTGATGAACATCAGCTGAACGATCTAATGAGAAGCGTCCATGGTTTATCTTTAGAATTTTTAAGGGCCCAGACCCATTTAATTTTTCCATAATCATATGTGGAACAATGACTTATGAACCTATTCTAATCCATTTCTAAATCTATTTTATTTTAGTTTCTTAGGAAAAAAACAGGAATTTAATTAGTTTTTATGCAACTTATATCAAAGCAATTAATATTTCTCAGTTTCAGAAATGTAGTATCATAAAGAATCAAGATGTGATGGATGTATTTCATCTGGAGAGTAGAGGTCAAGAAAACTGACCTGTTGCAGAGAGTATTTTCTGGGTGGTAGTATTTGAACTTACCTTAATTTGCTCCATAAGGATTGCATTAGTTGCTTCTGTTTCCCGAAGCAGACCGTTTAAGTGATCAGCACTTTTTGTGGTGGAACTGAGCTTTTGAACCAATTCTTCTTTGGTAAGTTCAGCATGCCATAGAGGAGGCTCTGCAAGATGTTGTTCAAATACTTAATTTTCAAAATTAGAGATTATAGATGAAGATTCTAAGTAAGAAATATATCTAAGCATAGATATTTTACTCTGCAATGTAACTCAGGTCCACTCTCTGCCATTCTTCTACTCAACATATCTCAATCAAAAGGTTGTCGAACATAACACAAATAGGGCAGAATCTCTGCTGTAAAGCATGTAATCTAATAGAATTCAAGCTCTATAAGACCCAATTCTAGAATTTGTTTGTTCTGTTTCTAGATTGTTCTATCAGTTTTCCTACTCACACTCCTCTATGTCCTAAGAGTTTATGTCATTTACTTATAAACAAGGGGAGTAATAACATTTGCCAATCATTTATATTACGGATGCTTGTAAGAATTTTGTATGAGGGATGCCTGGGTGGCTCAGATGTTGAGTGTCTGCTTTTGGCTCAGGGTGTGATCCTGGAGTCCCGGATCGAGTCCCACATTGGACTCCCCACATGGAACCTGCTTCTCCCTCTGCCTGTGTCTCTGCCTCTCTCTCTGTGTCTCATGAATAAATAAAATCTTAAAAAAAAAGATTTTTGTATGAGGTGGGTAAGGATTATTATTCAAATTCTGTAGACGAGAGAAAAGGCTCAGTTGACAAATAATTTTGGCAAAAATCACAAAGCCAGATGTGATTCTGGAGTCCACTCCTGGTGCCTCCATGTCGTCAGTACTAATCCTGTCTGGCAGGATTGTAATTTCCACCCACACCACGATTAGTGACCACAGCCACAAAAAGTCCTTACTCTAGATCCTGAAACTTCAGGAAGAGGGCAGAGACCCCCTGAATTATGAACATTCATGGCAGGTAAGACTAACATATACTGAAGCTTTACTATATTTAATAAATTCAGCGCTAACACTTCACCCAGAGGAGTAAATGAAACGTGTCAGCTTCTTAGAAGGGTGAGAGAATAGTTCATCCTACTTTTTGATACCACTAGGACTCCAGTCATCCATTTCTGGCTCAAGCTTGGCGCAGAACCAGCTTTCTTTCTTTCTTCTTTCTTTCTTTCTTTCTTTCTTTCTTTCTTTCTTTCTTTCTTTCTTTCTTTCTTTCTTTCATCTATCTATCTATCTAATTAATTAATTAAAAAGATTTATTTATTTGACAGGGAGAATGTGAGGGAGCAAAGCAGTAGGAATGGTAGGCAAAGAGAGAGGGAGAAGCAGGCTCCCCGCAGAGCAGGGAGCCCAATGCAGGGCTCAATCTCAGGATCCTGATTTCATGACTTGAGCCAAAGGCAGAGATCAACCAGCTGAGCCACGGGACACCCTGCATTTTATTTTTAAAAATCCAACTGTTTCATTCTGTAGGAGAATTTTCCATGTAGGGTGGAATGCTGAAGAAATTTTCTTAGAGTAACTCAAAGAAAGCATATATAACTTAGAGTTAGGATTTATTAGACAAGAAACAGAGCTAAGTAGGAAAAACATACCCAGTTTAGTTTCAGGAGAATTAAGCAGCTGCTCTAAAGACTGTGTGTGAGTGCCAGAGGAAGATACAGATTCCGTGTCAGTTGTCTCCATTCCTTCTCCCTCCTCCCGGGTTACAGCATACATGTCCAGAAGAGGCAGATCTGTGCTTCTCCTTTCTCGAAGGTTCTTTAAAGGCTGGTGAGAAGCAGCTGGGCCTATTAATTTTTTTTTTAAAGGAAGTGTGAAATTGTTCAAAATCATGGACTCTCTGTATTCAGAGATACACAATGAAATTTAAGTCATCATAGAGATATCAAATGGTATGACAGGGAATCTAAGTAACTAGAAGACAAAATAAATGGGATGCATAAAGAATTTTTAAGACTACCCTAAAAATTTAGTTATTAACTTTTAACCGTTTATGTCATTTCAACAAAAGCTATAAATTATTTGCTGCCATCTATATACTATAATAGAAGAGGGCTATACTGTTGCAAAATACTGGCAGAAATTCTAATACTAGACTCTATTTTTGAAGATTATGTATTGCAGAGAGCTGTGTCCTTTCTGACACAATATGCATGCTGAACTCTGCTGAGCACATGTTCTTGTTCATCTCTACCTTACACCTTCACCTCTGCTGGTTCCTACCACTGCCCCCTCACATCTTCGGTGTTCAGCCAAGAAAAGCTTAGAACCCAGGGCAGGGAACTAATCTATTATACTACCCCAGCCAGGCTTTCCTGCTTGCTGATAGTGAACCCTTGCATGGAACTCCAAGATTTTTAAGGCATATTGCTTTATTAATCCTGAAAAACCTGAAGGTCAGAAATTAAATGACTTTGCCCAAGACGTCATAGCAGGGGTAGGGACCAGAATTCTAACCGATATCTTTTAACTCCCAATTTCATTATTATCCATTCCATGAAGTTGCCTCCTCATTTCTCTCAAACCTTAGCCTCCAGCTGCCTATGTTGAAGCACTTGCCAAGATTTCTGATATTGGGCCAATTGCTTATTCCACTGCTGATTCCTAGATCACAATCTTTGGTGTGACTATGTTTCTTCCTTTGATGACTTTTGGCATAGGCTGACTTTCTTACAGCTGGCTTTGGACCCTGATGAATGACCCATCACTGCCAATGTCCTGGTGACATTTTTCAAGCTAAGTGGTATTAAGCATAAAGTTGATACTTAATGCTAAAATGTAGTAATAAGTAGCCTCATCTTGGCTGGCATATTCCCATCTCTTTCAGGGAGCAGAATAGAAGAGATAGGTGCAGCTGAACTAAATCTCCAACTAAGAAATATTAAAGGGAAGAAGCTGTATTAACCAATCAATCCTAAAATTCAGTGGGACTTGGGTGTTTCTAAGCTTCTCACTCTAATATTCCTAAGCACAAAATAGATATATTTGATGACCAACAATGGAGAACACCAAAAAGATTCAGTGAATACTGGAATTTGGACACATGTGACGAGACTGCAGAGAACGTCTGAGTCAGAGAACAGGAAATAGCGTTACATGGAGGTTAACAGATACATGAATATCAGTACTGTAAGAGGTGATATAGGCTGCTCTATGTATAATCAAAAAGGGTTCAAATGGTTCAAATATCTTTTCAGCAAGCAAATCCAAAATTCATTAATCACAGAATTGGCACTGATTGTCACCTAGTAAATTTTCTTTTTTCTTATGAATTTATGAATAATATATTTAAGTGACATAACTATGCGAGAACACAAACTACTGAGGTTCTCATACACATACTTCTTGTGGCTGGTTCACTCTTAAGCTGGAAAAGCTGAGCTTCCACCTTGGAGAGCTGCTGCTGTAAGGTTTCCATTGTCTTTCTGTGCTCTTCCTGCAAATGGCGTACTTGATCGCGGAAGCGGCTGTGAAGGACCTCGTTCTGGGACGTCAGTTGACTCACAGTCTGTGCATGTTCAGACTTCAGCGTCATATTCTCTGATTGTATTGAACACAACCTGAAGGATGAGAGGAACTTATTTCATAGGAAATCTTTCAATCTGACATGCTGACTCAGCTTTCCTCAGATGGGTTCTACTTGATAATTAGCCTTGAGACATCTACTAAATGTATGAATTAACTGCTAAGCATACAAAATGGTACAAGTTGTGTTAACCATCTGGGGATTGGCTGTCATCTAGTTCAAATCATCTCTGTGTTCTGTAGTTCCAATCAGGAGCCTTGGTTGAGTAACTGCTACAATGGTTCAGATGAGAACTTCCTTCATTACTTATCAAAAAATAGGGCTGAATTTAGAGCAATGTATAATTATACTTTAAATTAGTCTCCTTTTCAGGTTATCTTATGTGGGAACTCATATAAACACAGGATTACTGTATTTTTTCTTTATTACCTTGAAAACAGGAAAAAAAATTACTTTCTTTTGATTCATAAATAAAGCCTTAAGGAAAGCCTTAAAGAAAGTTTTCTGAGTAACTTTTGAGCCAAATAACATAAAACTCTGAAACACAAAGGCTTGGTTTACCACAGCTGTTTTCGAATTTCACTGTGCACCAGAATCATTGGATCCCTTGTTTTGTTTTGTTTTAATTTTTTATTTATTTATGATAGTCACAGAGAGAGAGAGAGAGAGAGAGAGAGAGAGAGAGAGAGAGGGGGGGGGGGCAGAGACATAGGCAGAGGGAGAAGCAGGCTCCATGCACCGGGAGCCTGACGTGGGATTCGATACCGGGTCTCCAGGATCGCGACCTGGGCCAAAGGCAGGCGCCAAACCACTGTGCCACCCAGGGATCCCCCAATGGACACCTTGTTAAAAATACAGACATTAAAAAAAAAAAAAAAAAACAAACCCAGACATTTAGTTTTCATCCCAGAGCCACTGAATCAGAATGTCCAAAGGAGGTCCTAGAAATCACCTACTTTTAGCAGTTCTCTATGCAATTTTTAGCCTGGTGTTAGCCAATGCAACTATAATTTGGGAACCACTATTTTTAATGGTTCAATTGTAGTCTTGATGTTTTATGTTTGGCTTTGGTAAAAAAAAAAAAAAAAAAAAAAAAAAAAGTTTTCTTTTTAAGCCAGGGAGCCACAGTACAAGTACTCTCATAAAAATTCAAACAATATGGAACCAATTATAGAAAAAATTGAGAGCCCTCTTATTCACTCCCACCCCCTGTAGTGTAAAAATCCCAGCTCTAGGAACAGACATTGTTAGTGGTTTAGCAAGTAGCGTTCCAAGATCTTTTTTCGTATGTACAAATATGACCACCATATAACGTTTTAAAACAAGATTTAGTGGCTAAAGGGTGATATATAATAAAAACACTGTATGTTTCAGAAAAGGTTTCATAAGTGCCAAGTTCATATTGATCAATGAGTTCAGAAAATGCTAGTGTATATGTTATCCCTCAAATCTGCATTTTTCTGTGAGCATTTTTTTTCTCTCTCACTTTTTTTTTTTAAAGATTTTATTTATCCATGAGAGACACAGAGACACAGGCAGAGAGAGAAGCAGGATCCCTTCAGGGAGCTCGACCTGGAACTTGATCCCGGGACCCTAGGCTCATGCCCTGGGCTGAAGGCAGATGCTTAACTGCTGAACCACCCAGGTGTCCCTTGAGCATTTTGTTCAAACACTACTACGAAAATAAAGGAAGAACCATCAGCAGTCACAACAGCAATTTTCTAAGGAAGATAATGGCTACATTATAGAGATAGGGGAAGGTTGGTAGTTTGCAGGGGTCTCAGTGACACATTTGACTTTATCTACTTAAGAGCTAGAAGTTTGACCCCCATCCTGGACCTGGAATGACTATGCTGATGGAAGTTTATTACCTGTCTCAGCTGTTACTGGGGTGTTTGTATAGCTGGATCTTCTGGACAATGTAGGTATTAGCTGGTCAGCCTAATTATTCCTCTTGAGCCATTTTTACAATCTCATACAGAGAAAGTATGAATATTAAGATGTTTTAAAAAGAAAAGAATTTCTAAGGATAAGGCTATTTCTTCATATTGGGGCAGGGCATAGACAGTAACAGCATTATTCTTAATACTTCTGAAAAAGAGGGATAAGACTTCTAAAGATATCTCAAAATACTATTAAGTTTCTAGCACTTAGAGGAACGACTGGCACATAGTAGGTGCCAAAAAAATAGTTACTGAACTATAGAGGCAACACTTGCACTTTATTCATGTTAGCAATATAATTTGCAGTAACTTTTCTAGAATAAAGAATAAATGTGGGAAATTTCTGATGTAAATAGCAAGCATCACTGTATTTCAGCTAATCTTCCAATGAAACCTGGGGATAGGTAGCTAGAAAATTGGTAGATCTTCCCTGAAACTTCTGATTCACATGATTAACATATATAAATTATGTTATTAAAAGATTAGAAAGTCAAAATGAAGCTTTCAAGATTACCATAGATTAGGTATGTATTAAAAGCATACCTGAGATATGTAAAATATTCCAACACCCTTGATGTTCAATGAAGAGCTCTTTTCCTCAGTTTAAGGTACAACAGCTATTACCACTCAATTTCTTTATTACAGGAATTCAAAGTTCCTTGTTCACAATAATCTACTCCTCCTGCCAACACCACTGAGGTCTATTTAGAGTACTGATTAACAAAGGGTAATAATATGACAAGTTGAAGACAGTTGCAAAAGGTAAGCTCCATATTCTTGTTCAGTTAGCAGCTGTCTGAATGCTTTCCTCTAGAGAAAAAGAAAAATGCTTATAATTTGACACCTGAGTTGAAAAGTGGATTTTTTAAAGAAACATTCTGGCCATGAAGGCCAAAGGAAAAACAGATTGCTGGATGAACAGATAAAATTAACTGTTCTTAAAAAAATAAAGGTTAAAACCAATCAAAAGGGGCTTTAAGGTAGAAAAACAAAGTTAGCAAGCCTCTAAAAATATCTATTTCTTCTTTCTTTTTAAAAGATTTTATTTATATATTTTTGAGAATAAGAGAGAGAGAGAGAGAGAGAGAGAGAGAGAGAGAACACATGCACAAGCAGGAGGTGGGCAGAAATAGAGGCAGAGTCTAGAGAATCCCAGAGGCTCAATCTCATGACCTGAGCCGAAATCAAGAGTTGGATGCTTAACTGACCGAGGCACCCAGGTGCCCCTAGAAATATCTATTCCTTATTTTCAATTTGTATTTATCCCAAGGAGCAACTCATTAGGAGTTCCAACCAAGAAAAACTTTGCTGCTCAGCACAAACACAGTTAGTACTGCTCGCAACCTTACTTTTCCCGGAGTTCTGCCTCTTTGGACACAGTTTCCTGCAGCATCTTGTTATGTCTTTCTAGCAGAGTATCATGTTCAGACTGTAATGTCTGAAGTTCAGATACACTGATCTGTAAGTTATTTTGGGTGTCCTGTAATTTGATTTTCAGTTGATCAATCAGCATTTCCAGGTGTTCTCTAAAAGAGAAACAGTTTTACAAAAAGTTTTAAAAGAGGTAAACCTGATTTTATGGTTTCAAATACATTTTATTTTAATCATTTCATCTTTTAATGTCATACACTTGCCATTATTATAGACAATACTAATGGAAATCTAGTAATTGGAATAATTCAGAGACCAGGGATAAGTATAATACAGAAGACCTTATCGTCAGATTTTATATCTTAGCCACTGCAGATTTTCAAAAAAATCTCTGAACTTGTAAATTTCATACTCAAATGGAGAAGAGACTATTAAGTGCATCAAAATAGCCTATTTTGTTATAGTGTTATACTTTTAGTTAACGTAAAAAAAATCACAGTTCTAAGCTAACCATTATGAGAATGGTATGAACAACAGAATGTCTCAACTGATTCAATAGTTTCTTTTTTTTAGAAAAAAGTATACATATAAGAAAATAGAAGGAATGCAAAAACATTTACATTAAAATAATTTGAATCCAAAATTCCAGCATGATAAAAAAGGCTCTTGTCAATACTGACATTTTCATATTAAAGGCTTCAATATTCAATTTCTGCTTTGAAATTTGAAGGTGAGCTAACAGACAAAATATCTCATTTGTCAGTCTACAGCTTCCATATTTAACAGATACTTAAATAAAAAGTAACACAAGTATAAACATACAAACATTGCAGGATATTTAGTCCTACTTAGAACAGTAAGAGGTAGATGTAAAATTACTTTGAATACCGAACCTAAAACAAAACACACAGGCTATAGAATGCCCCATTTCATATTCCTAGTATATTTTTGAATAATTTACAAAAATGATCTGTATGCTAGTTTTAAAGATGCACTAAATAATATACTACTGAAACAAATAATTGAGATGATAAATTTAAGAAGAAACATTTAATTCTAGGCTAGAATTTAGTATTGAATTTAAAACTTTTTGAAAGACATAAAATGTTTTAAAGCAATTCTATTTAGCCTAATTAATGGTGGGTATAACAAAGAAGCATTTTTATTCTATTTCTAAATTTTCAAAATTGGAAAAACTAATCATAATGTAACTTTAATGTCTGTATTTCTACTCTGACCAGTTCCTGCTACAACAAGATGACACTACTTAGCCTATCTCCTGGTTTTACTGCTTAAGTCACACAGTCTTATGAGTTTGTAACCTTCATAGTGATGCGTCCCTGTTGCTACCTGGAGATAGAGTGAAGTCAAAAAACTCTGCTCTCATTACACGTAAAATTCCACAAATTGAATCAAAGCAGAATTTACAACCTACTTGATGGAAAGGGGGAAACCCTGCATGTTCATTTTAATTTAGACTTTACCTTTCTTGTTTAGCTCCCTCGGTTTCAGTCTGAGACACAGATTTATTTTTCTGTTGTTTCAGAACATTGTGAACTCGGACTTTGTAGCTCTCAAATTCAGAGGTTATAGCAGCTTGTTCTGCCTATGACATTCAAAAGAGAGAGAATAATTTTTCTACTGCATTTTCTATTGTAACATAATCCTATTTCCTTTTAATGACTTAAATGAAACATGTTTTAGAAAATGAGTAAAATAACTGACACCCTTTAGCCCCTTGATAAACTTCCTCTAAAAAATGTGCTTCGTTAGGCCTTACATCTTTTTAAAAGCCTTTAAAGATAGAATTTTGGTTGACAAGAGATGCTTCTACCATGTTTTCCTCCCTGGTGGATTCAATGAGTACCCATAAATTCTGTAAAGGCATATTTGCCTTTGGAATCTTAAAAGATTTTCATTTATAAGATTTCCTCTTTTCATAAATATAATAAAAATAAATTCAAAGAAATTAAGCCTCTTAAACTTCAGATTTCCAAAGAGAGTGGGAAAAGTGGAATTCTAGATCTTCCACTTTCCTAATGTGATCTTCTGTGACCCTTCCGCCAACCTGGCTCATTATCAGAGCTGCACCTCTCACAAAGCTACCGTATTAGGTCTGCTTTGCATGCTGAAGAAAGTAGGCCCCTCACAGCCATTCTATCAGAATATTATTTTATAATCATTTGGCCCTCAGAAAGAACTGTACACTTTTTAAATTATAAAATTAAGAAAAAATAACTCTTACACAGAAATTGCAAAACAAGGTGAAAATGGAAACAATGTGTACCCCATGTCTTCCATTTTAACAACAACAACAAAAAAGGTTATGCAAGTGACAGGATTAGGATGGGATTAGAGTTAGGGACAGATGAGCTACACTAAGAATTCATCTAATAAGTGATCTTTTAAACTAAAGCAAATCCTAAAAGGTGAGACCACACCCCTCATGTGAACTGCTTATAAGATAACACCTGTTCACTGCTTCTGTGTGAAGCATGTACCTTGGCAGCATGGCACTCTTCTTGAAGTGCTGTCACTTTTTGCTGGTAAGCGCTCAGTGTGCGCTGGTGCTGGTCTGCCGAGGTCTTCAGGTGTTCGTGAACTTTGTGCTTCTCAGAGGTTATTTCAGCTAGCTGAATCTGGGGCAAAACCTTTCAGTTAAGCTCTAGTAAATTGGATCTTCATGGTTAAACAGATTTTCTTTAAAAATAAACTTGAGTTTGTATCATTTCTATATATATATATAAGCGATAATTAGATAGAATTAAAACTATTATTGAAAGAATAGAGACAATATAATAGAATATTTTCCCAAATTATTTCAGTTTTCCTTAAATCAAAATTAGTCATAAGTGATAATAAAAAAAATCCAGACTACTTGTTATAGTTCAATGTCTAATTGAATATATTAAGACATTATATAAATTGGATATTAAAAATATAAATAATGTAAATATACACGTAACGTGTATACAACATAAGTATATAGAACCATTTTTATTCTTGTGACTGCACTATCATTTTGAAAGCTCTGATGCAGGTCTGAGGCCATGCACTATTCTTAGTGCATTAAGGATTTTCAAATACATGAAGAGAATCTAGCTTAAGCTAAATGGGATACTCCAGTTATATGCCATATTTGGCTTACTGCTTTTACTTTTTAAATGAAGGATATTTAGGAGAAAGAAATGTGTGTATAAAAATATGTACATATAGGGACACCTGGGTTGCTCAGTGGTTGATCGTTTGCCTTTGACTCAGGGCATGATCTTGGAGCCCCAGGATCGAGTCCCACAATGGGCTCCCCACAGGGAGCCTGCTTCTCTCCCTCTGCCTAAGTCTCTGCCTCTCTCTATCATGATTAAATAAATAAATAAATCTTAAAAAAAAAAAGTACATATAGGTATTTGGGAAAATTCCCACATAATACCTTAGTTCTACATGGACAGTTTTTGGTAAATCCTAAAAAGCAATAAGACTCTTACTTTATAGACTTCTACTTGCTGCTGGCTTGCCTCCAGTTCACCCTTCAAAGATGCTTGAAGTATTAAGTGATCAGTTTCCTACAGAATAAGAAACATGATTAAATTTGAAAAGTGATTCAAAAATACATAAATTGAAATATGAAACTGGGAAATTAACATACTGCTTGCTTTGAATCTGCCAGTTCTTTTTTGGTTTTCACAAGCAACTGCTTGATTTTGGTGTTTTTTTCCTCATACTGTTGCACTGAAGATTGTAGTGAAGCTAGCAAAGGAAATAATTTCAGAACAGATTAAACAATGTTTTTTAAGATTTATTTACTTTCGAGAGAGAAAGAGCATGGGGGGAGGGGCAGAGACAGTGAGAGAATCTCAAAGCAGACTCTGTGCTGACCACAGAGCTCCATGTGGGGCTTGATCTCATGACCCTGAGGTCATGACTTGAGCCGAAACCAAGAGTTGGCCGTTCAACTGACTGCACCACCCAAGCACCCCAAATAATTTTTATAAATGAATTTAAGTAAATGAATGATTAAGTCTTTTCTTTGCATTTACCTATCTTTAAAAAGAAACTTGTCTTAAAAAAATAAAAGAAAAAATAAAAATAAACTTGTCTTAGATTTTTATTATGGAATGTTTCAAACATACACAACAGCAGTGACAACTACTGTATCCATAACTCAGCTTTTTTTTTTTTTTTTCCCCATCACTCAGCTTTACCAATCACTGATGCATGGCCAATCTTACAACACAGAACAGGAATCTGTCCCACAGGCTAAAATCTGGCTACTGCCTGTTTGTAAAGAGTTTTGTTAGAACACAATCAAGCTTATTTATTTACATTTGTTCATAGCTGCTTCAGTGCAACAATGATAGTTTTGACTAACGGTGTTGGAGACTATAAAATGGCCTGCAAGGCCTAAAATATTTACTGCCTGGCCCTTGATGGAAAGAGTTTGTCAACTCCTAACCCATATCCTTACCTATTCCTTGTACCCTCTTTGGTTTTGGTTTGTCTGTTTTTGGTTCTTCATAAGAAATCCATTTGTCTGTACATGTTTCAGTATATATCTTTAAATAAAGTTATATACTTAGTGTGTATCTAAAAGATAAATACTTTTATGAAGTATCTAAAAAAAAAAGTACCTCAAAAGTGGTGCCATATATTTCCAATTCTATCACCACAGAGGCACATACCTGTTGTTTTTCTGATACTAATTGTTTTGTAGAATGGGACTGTCAGTGATTGTTCACTAAGGAACATATTGAAACATGATAAAAAGAAAAAACTTTTATGCTAAAGGAGGTTAGAAATGAGTGGATTTACTGTCTAGATCCCAGGTACCCAAATACAACCAGCAAGCAGGCCAAATCTGGCCACAGCCTGTTATGAAAGAAACAAAGAATGTAAGATAGAGACCATGTAGCCTGTGAAGCCATGGAGAATGACTTCCTGGTCCTTTAAGAAAAGTGCTTAATACCTGGTCTAGGCCAGTTACACGGGCACCATGTAATTGTGTTACTAAAATATCTTATAAGCAATGATTAACTTTATAGAGTTAAATTCACATATCCAGATCCTATTACTTGGTAAACATGAACAGGTATACTGTAAGAATATATCTTAACTATGCCTTTTTATGATAAGTCTAATTTAGTTATTTCCTGGCAACTATTTGCTTGGCTATAAAAAGCATTTTATAACGCACAAATTACATACAAAACCTTTGTTAAGTGCCCCAGGAATTGTGATTAGACACAGTTCCTGAGCTCAAAGAATAAAAATGAAATGGGGGGATAACATTTCACATAACATAATGCACAATACAAACATTACAAAAGAAATACAAAAGGCTTTGGGGCTCATAGGGCCTAAAGGTTATACAAAGTTTGCAAAGGAAACTTAGAACAGGAGACATTTAAGATTAGGAAGGACTCCAACGGGTGGGCATGAGAGTGGGAGGGCTAGGACATGAAAGGAGATTTCCTTGAGAGATGAGATCTATAGTTACAGAAAGGCACAAATCATGTCTCAGGAAAAATGAGTAGTCTTCTCTGTGAGAGAGTAATGAGAATTAACTTGGAAAGTCAAATTGGGGCCAGATGTTGGTGGGGTTTCATATTAAGACGTGTGTTGCTAATTTATTATGCAATCTTTTTTTTAATGCACAGAACACTGTCCAGATGCTTTCTTATCTTTTCCCTACTCTACTGCAACTCCTGAGCTCAGCCTTCTAAGACCTCTGCTGCCATGAGTCTCGTGACTTTTGACAGATTCTACACCATTCTGATATGCTGATCTGATATGCTGGCAGACCAATCTTCCCCCATTGTCTTCAAGAAGAGCCTAAAGATATTGTGGTATTCAGGCACTCCACAAACTAGATAAAATATGTCTTCCTAATTACACCTTGCTTCTCCTTAACAGGTCAAGCTTTTCAGTGCAACTCCTCAAGACTTCCAAAATTACACCATTGTTACTCTTAATTTTGTTTATTCCATCGCTGTAGAAAGTAATACCCTGTTTCAGTCGTTTTTTTCTTTCCAAACCTTACTTTCAACACTTATCTCGAGCCCTAACTTATGATTCTTTCAGTCTACAGAATCTCTCTCCCCTCTGAACTCTTTTTTTTTTTTTAATTTTTATTTATTTATGATAGTCACAGAGAGAGAAAGAGAGAGAGGCAGAGACATAGGCAGAGGGAGAAGCAGGCTCCATGCACCGGGAGCCCGACTTGGGATTCGATCCCGGGTCTCCAGGATCGCGCCCTGGGCCAAAGGCAGGCGCCAAACCGCTGCGCCACCCAGGGATCCCGTCCCCTCTGAACTCTTAAAGAGCACTCACTGCTTATACCACTCATTTCTGTACTTATAGGTGAGAAGTGGGTGTCCTTCTTAAACAAAGCATATCTTTTTAGTTTTTCCAGGGTATCAAGCTTCTCTTTCAGCTTAATAATCAAAAATATACACATTCACTAATTCACAAACCCAAATGTATGCATTGTAGGAATACAATCTAGAGCTCTGCTCTTCAATTTACACCAGGAACACAGCTGGAAAATATAGTTGTGCATAATGAAAGATCTACACCTAGTGAATTGTCTGGAAACTCTACAATTGTTTAATTATCTGAGTATTCTACATTTTTCCCCTGGATGCAGGTAGATCATCAGAACTATGCATCCATGGCTTCAATTTATTAATTCATGGAAATTACCTTTATTGAGCTGTGATTTGGCTTCAAGCTGAATGAAATATGCATTATGAAATAGTCGAGGGAGATTTGCTACTTTATTTGTTGTGGGAATGCCACTGAGAATACAAATCCAGATTATCAGTGGTTTCTGTTAAAATTAAATATAAAATGGCTACTGGGTTTGAAAATTTCCTGAGCAGATAAAATAATTTAAGTCACAAAAGTGAAACTTAATTTAGCTTACTCTGCAAAATAAGTGAACTTGTCATCTAAAAATCCCCACTGTAATATCAATCATTATAAAGGTTACATTTATAATGTAAGCTTTTATAAGGTTTTATAAGGTTTCACTTTATAAGCCATCCTGGGCTATCAGTCTTCAAATCTGAAAATTCCAAGTTCATGGCCTAACAGATTCTTATTTAATATTATTTATTGATTTGGTGGTTTTAATTTTGCTATTTCTGGGTGTTTCACATTCCTAAAGGTAGCATTAATTTCAAAAATCACATACGAGACTTTTGAAAACACAGATTTCAAGGCCCCACCCCTTAAGATTCTGATTCTTTATATTTGTGCCTGGCTTTTCCAAAAAGCTCTCTGGATATTCAAGTTAGGTCTGGGACCATTGTTCCACATGACAGTGTTCCTTTATAAAAATGCCTTTTAAAAAAAACCTCTCACACATCTTAGTATCAGGAAAAGCTGTGTCGCTAACAAGAATCGCATTTATTCTACTATTGTGGCTACCATAAACTTTGTAACTGGTAATGTTCCTGTCTTTGAATGGTTTCTGGGAAGCTGAAAGTCAATTTATGGAGACCTTAGTGGTAGCAAAAGTATACAAAAGGTATACTTTATGTCTTGATCTTATATCTGACTTCACTGTATAGTCCTACACCTCAACATTTCCTTTTATCCCATTTCCTCATTTATATATCTAAAATCATGTACAGTAGTATCTTTGCAGCCACCTTAAATTATTTTATGGAACTTCAGCTTCTCACCATGAGGGAATAACATGACCTAGATATACCTTCTGCTGTAAACAATTAGGAAACTGAACAATATGGAAATTCCTGAAACCGAGCTATGATCTCTGAGAAAGGATAAATAAGGTGACCCTTATTACAGTCCTAGCTTTCTGTCTGGAGGCAATTTCTAGACTGTGGAATAGGAGGGGAATCTCCATTACAAACATAATGAAGAGGTAAATGAAATACAACAAGAACAAAAAAAAAATACAAATGGAATTTCTAGGGATGAAAATATATCTAAAGTGAAAATATTATTGGGTGATATTTAATTATAACATATTAGACCTTGAAGATAAGAGAATTTAAAGACTATTTAATAATTATATATAATTAAATCAATTTTAATAAAAGTGAAAAAAGAAGAGAAATGAAGAAAAACAGAGTATCACTAACCTATGAGATTATATCAAGTGGTCTAATGTATGTAATTGGAGTCCTAGGGAAAAAAAGGGAGGAAGATTTAGACAAAAAGAAGTAAATAATGGCCAAAAATATGACAAATGAAGAAAACTAGAAAAACTACATACAACAAAGAAGCTCAACAAAACACAAGCAGAATATAAACAAGAAATAAAGACACACCAAGGCATATCACAAAATTCTACACTCAGCAAAATTATCTTAAAAAAAAAGATTTTATTTACTCATTTTAGAGTGAGAGAGAAAGAGAGAGAATACACATGCAGGGTCGGGCAGGAGGAGAGAGACAGAGAAAGAATCTGAAGCAGATTCTGCAGTGAGCACAGAGCCCAGTGCAGGGCTCCATCCCACAACCACAAGATCATGACCTGAGGTAAAACCAAGAGCTGGATGCTTTCTTGACTGAGCCACCTGGATGCTCCCCAGCAGAACTGTCTTTCAAAAATGAAGATTTTTTTTTCAGGCAAACAAAACATGACAGAATTCAATGCCAATAGTCTGCACTGTTAAAGGAAGTTCTTCAGGCAAAAGGAAAGTCAGTATTTGATGAAATCCAGATATACATGATGGAATGAAGAGCACTAGAAATGGTAGACATGTGGGTAAACATATGAAATAAAATTCTCTAGTTTTTCATTTCTTTAAAACAGGAATTGGAAAACGTTTTAAATGGTGAAATAATGAATATTATAGGTTTGTAGGTGATACAGTCTGTTACAACTACTCAGTTGTGTAGCACAAAAGCAGGTACAGATGATACACACAAATGGACATAGCTGTGTTTCAATAAAACGTTCGTATAACAGGCAGCTACTGTGGGCCATGGTTTGCTGATCTCTCCTTAATAGATGGCTATTTTCAAACAAAGATAACACAATTATTGTCTGTAACACATGGAGAAGTAAAATGTATGACAAAAATAGCACAAAGGGCAAAAGGAGTAAATAATCTATATAAAGTGGTATAATTTACTTAAAAGTAATCTGTAATAAGTTCATGACACATACTATTAACTCTAAAGCACCCACTAAGAACTAACAAAGAGGGGGAAGCCTGGGTGGGGTTCAGTAGTTGAGCATCTGCCTTTGGCTCAGGGTACGATCCTAGGGTCTGGGGATGGAGTCCCACATCGGTCTCCCTGGGAGGAGTCTGGTTCTCCTCCACTGCCTGTGTCTCTGCCTCTCACTGTGTGTCTTTCATGAATAAATAAACACAATCTTTAAAAACAACAACAGCAAAAAACGAACTAACAAAGAGGTATAGGTAACAAGCTAATAAAGGAGTTAAAATGGAACCATATAAATTACTCAGTTCAAAAGAAAGCAGAAAGAGAGGAAAAAGGAAACATATTACAAAACAAGTAGAAACAATCAACAAGGGCAGCCCAGGTGGCTCAGCGGTATAGCACCGCCTTCAGCCCAGGGCGTGATCCTGGAGATCCAGGATCGAGTCCCATGTTGGGCGCCATGCATGGAGCCTGCTTCTCCCTCTGCCTGTGTCTCTGCCTCTCTCTCTCTCTCTCTGTCTTTCAGGAATAAATAAAATCTTAAAAAAAAAAAAAAACAGTCAACAAGGTAGTAGGTTTAAACCTAATCATATAAATAATTATGTTAAAAATAAATAACTTACACATTCTATTTAAACAGCAGAGGCTATCAGCTTGGAGAGCACTGGAAGAGTCAACTACGTGCTATCTAAAAGAAACACTTTAGAGACTTTGGTCGACAGCTAAAGGATGGGAAAAGACATGCCATGTAAACAAGAAACAAAAGAAAGCTGGAGTGGTTATATTAATACCAAAGTGGACTTTAGAAAAGAAATACCACCAGTAATTAAAAAAAAAAATACATTTCACAATAATAGAGAAATTCAGTTACCAGGAGCAAGTATCGATTCTAAATGTATATGGAGTTAATTCCAGAGTTTCTAAATATATGAAGCCAAAAACCACATGTGAAAAGAGAAAGAAACCCACAGTTATGTTCAGGAAATTCAACATATCTCTCTCAGTATTTGGTAGAGCAGTAGTCAGAAAATCATTAAAAATATAGAAAACCTAAACTGTCACCTGACCTGATTTAACTGACATTAGTTAGAACACGCTATCCAATAACTAATATAGTTGAACACATTGTTTTCAAGTGCCTAAGGAGCATTCGCCAAAAGAAATCTTATTCTGGGCCATTAAACAAAACTCAATAAACTTAGAAGGACCAAGGTCCTACAGAATATGTTCTCTAACTACAAAGGAATTCAGTAAGAAATCGTTAACAGAAAGATGTGAAATTCCTTTAAATGAATAAAACAACAGACTTCTAAGTAACTCATGGGTCAAAGAAGAAATCCAGAGGAAATTAAAAAATATTTTGAGCTAAATTAAACAAAAGTATAGCATACCAATTTAGGAGATGTGGCTGAAAGAGTGCCTACAGGCATATATATACATCTTTAGAGGCTTAATGTTAGAAATTATTTTATGGAGAAAGTGGAATATAATCACCTTAAAAAAAGATTTCACTGATATTTAAATGATCCCACACTGCTTGACAACCAGCAAATTGTGGACAAGACCATTCTTTATCTTTGTATCACTCATGCAGCTTGTACTTAAATATTTAAGTAAATGAATGCATTATGCACCAATACGGACTGTACACATCTAAACAAAAAATAGTTTTACAATCCTCATCGTCCTTAAGAATATTTAGCATTGTGTGAAAGATCTGTTTGGCAGTCAAAGACTGGTGAAATGCACAAATAAGGTTGCTTCCCTGTATTCTGTTATGATGAAATTATTTTAAGTTAAAGTGAATTTTGTTTTACTCACTCATTTCTTCTTGCAGAGTTTCTTGTTTCTGCTTCTGAATTTTAATTTCTTGCTCCAAATCTTCTATCTTGCTATTTTTATTAGCTAAATTTTGATTTAGTTCTTTCATCAAACGTTCATAATCAGCTATTTCCATATTCATCAATGTGGTTTGCTGGGCATCCTGCACATATCAGAAATAAAAGATCCACATAATAGTTTAATGTTATTTGTAAAATTGCTAATTGCTAACTATAAATTATGCCAAAGGAATAAACACATCCAATTATGCTTTTCTGTAATACAGAAAGTTTATACATCATATGAAAAAACTAGAAATTGGCACTTTCTATTTTGTAATTTTATAAAATATTTTCATTGAATTTCATCATAGTTTTCATTAACTACAACTGACAGTTCTACACATGGAGCTCTTATTTATAAAATGCTAACATTTAAACAGCTCTTACAATACTTTTCTTTTTAGCCTCATCTTGAAAAAAGTAGAGAAAAATAAGCCAAAGATTTTAAATATGATATGAATTCTAACTTTTGACATTAATTAAATCTTCATGTGTCATATAACAATCCTGTACAAAAAAGGAAGTATCAAACCATTTGTGAGCCTATTCTTCTGAAAAGACAGCATTTACAAAAATGTTAAACTTTCCATTTCGTGAGTCCAACAATTTATACATGATTATGTTTATGCCTCAAAAACCTTGCTTTTGAAATTTGTCTTTTCTAAACTATCAGAATCGTTTAACACTATGAATACCGACTTCAGTTTGGAATTTGGGGTTTTATTTTTACCTTTCTAACCAGCTCTAATTCTTGCATGGTTTTCTGAAGCTGTTTCTTTTCCTTCTGAAGTTGTAGCTGAAGTTCTTCAAGTTCATTTATAGAACTGGCATGCTCCTGAAATTAAAAATATTGCCACCCCGCCCCCCAAACCAACCAACATTAAAATGGTATTTTTAAGGGTCTATAAAATAAATCTAACATATTAAAGTACAAAAAGCTTGAAAATCTTTTAATATATAAAAAACATGCACCCCAAAAATCATAGCTGGGGATTCTCCAATTCATAGTTGACATACATCAAGGAATTAAACAACTCTGTTGTATTCACAAATGCTACTCATTAGTAAGTCTTTACTTCACTTAAATGATGTGATAAAAATATCAAGTAAATATATATAAATATAAAGTAACCCCACAGGACTGTTTTTACCTTTATCTTCTGCTCTTTCTGAAGTTTTTCAGCTTCCAACTCTTTGTCTGCCACTGCTTTAGCTTTTTGGACTTCTAAAATCTGTACTTCTAATAACTTCACGTTAGACTGTAGTGTCTCAATACGAGCTAAGAGATCTTCATTATCAGAATTTAATTTTTCACACTAGAATGACAAATGATTTATGACTGTAAACATGCAGAAAATATGTACAGGAGAAGAAGAATAAAATGATGCATTATAAGATTACTGGCACAGTATGAAAAATGAAGATTTCAAAAATAATTCCACATAATATAAAATCAAAAATAAGTTTAAAACACTATTACTGTTAAAATCAATTTAACATTACAAGAGACCAGGAGCACTGGCAGAGGAAAAGGCAAAAAAAGAAACAAAAACAAAACCAAAACACCCAAGAAGCTGAGAAGTAGAGCAATAGGTAAGACAGGATAGTTGTCAGTTGTTTTGTCATATTCTTCTCCCAACAATGGGAAAAAGAAAATGATACTAAGTTTTTATTAATTTTAATTTTTATGCAAAAATTTTGAAATTGAAATATACTTAATTACATTTTTCATGTTTGCATTTACTCAATTTAAAATTACCTGAAAGGTCCTTTCAAAAAAAAAAAATTAAAAAAATTAAAAAAAAAAAAAGGTCCTTTCAACAAAGTGGGCGCAGAGGAACGAACCTGAACATAAGAAAATGCCATATATGAAGCCCACAGCTACACCATACTCAGTGGTGAAAAGCTTTTCCTCTACGATCAGGAACAAGATAAGATTTCCACTCTTGCCATTCTTACTTAACATGGTGTTAGAAGTCCTAGCTACAGCAATAAGCAAGAAAAAAAAAAAAAAACAGGCATCCAAATTAGAAAGGAAGAAGTAAAACTCACTATTCACAGATGGTTACTACGTATAGGAAATCTTAAAGACTCCACTGAAAAAAAGTTAGAGCTAATATCTGAATTCAATACAGCTGCAGAATACAAGATCAATATACAGAAATCTGTTGTGTTTGTATACTTTAATAACAAACTATCAGGAAGAGAAAGTAAGAATAAATAATACCACTTACAACTGCATCATAAAGAAAACAAAAATCTAGTAATAAATTGAACCAAAGAGATGAAAGACCTGTATATTTAAAGCTATAAAACACTGATGAAATAAACTGAAGATGATACAAATGGAAAAATATTCTATGTTCATAGATTGGAAGAATTAATATCTTTCAAATATTAAAATATTGCTATCTGACCAAAGCAATCTATAGATTGGGTGTAATCCCTATCAAAAATCCAATGGCATTTTCTATAGAACTAACTAGAACAACAATTCTAAAATTTGTACAGAACCACAAAAGAGCCCAAATAACCAAAGCAATCTTGAAAAAGAAGAACAAAACTGGAGGGATCATGCTTCCTGATTTCAAACCTTTATAAAAGAACAATACTCAAAACAGTATAGTGCTGGCATAATAACAGACACATAGATCAATGAAACAGAAAAAAAGAGTCCAGAAAAAAACCCACGCATGTCTAGTCAATTCATTTATAACAAAGGAGCCAAGAATATACAATGAGAAAAAGATAGTCTCTTCAAAAAATGGTGTTGGACAAGTTGGATGGCCACTTAAAAAAGAATGAAACTGGACCACTATCTTATTCCTTACACAAAAATTAACTGAAAATGGTTTCAAGATTTGAATGTAAGACCTAAAACCATAAGACTTTCAAGAGATTGGCAGTAAGCTCCTTGACATTGGTATGTCATCAATTTTTTGAACCTGACACCAAAATCAAAGGCAACAAAACCAAAAAATCAGTAAGTGGGACTGAATCAAACTCGACTCCAGGATCACGCCCTGGGCCAAAGGCAGGTGCCAAACTGCTGAGTCACCCAGGGATCCCCTCAAACTCAAAAACTTCTTAACAAAGGAAACCATCAAAAAAAACAAAAACAAAAACAAAGGAAACCATCAACAGAATGAAAAGGCAGCCTACAGAATGGAAGAGATTATTTGCAAATCCTGTATCTGATAAAGGGTTAATATTCTAAATAAAGAACTCCTACAACTCAATAGTAAAAACCAAAAATTCAACTTAAAAATGGGCAGAATATATAAACAGACATTTTCCTAAAAACATATAGATGGCCAATAGGTACATGAGAAGATGCTCAACATCATGGATCATCAGAGAAATGTAAATCAAAACCACAACGAGGGACGCCTGGGTGGTTGAGCATCTGCATTGGGCGCAGGGCATGATCCTGGGATTGTGTCCCATATCAGGCTCCCCATAGGGAGTCTGCTTCTCCCTTTGTCTATTTCTCTGTCTCTATCTCTGTCTCTCTCATGAATAAATAAAATCTTTAGAAAAAAGATTTAAAACCACAATGAAATATCATCTCATACCTGTTAGAATGGCTGTTAAGAAAACAAAACAAACAAAATACAAAAACAAACCTGCAACCACCCCAGAAACAAGAAGTGTTGGCAAGGATGTTGAGAAAAGAGAATGCCTGTGCAATGTTGATGAGAATATAAATTGGTACAGCCACTGTAGATAAGAGTATGGAAGCTCCTGAAAATTAAAAACAAAACCACCAAATGATCCAATATTTCAACTTCTGGATATTTATCCAAATAAAACAAAACCAGTAGCTCAAAAAGATACATGTACAGCCATGTTCACTGCAGCATGACTTACAATAGCCAGGATAAGGATGCAACCTAAGTGTTCATTGATGGATGAAATGGATAAAGAAAATGTGGTGTATACATCCAATAGGATAGTATTTGGCCATACAGAAGTATGAAATCTTGCAATCTGTGACAACATGAATGGACCTCAAGAACATGATGCTAACAGAAATAAGTCAGATAGAAAAAGACAAATACTGTATGATTTCACCTATATGGAAAAAAAAATAAATAACAGCTAAGCTCAGAGAGAATATTCCAGAGGCACAGGGCGGGATGTGGGTGAAAGGAGTGAAGGATTCAAAGGAAACAAACTTCCAGTTATAAAATAAGTCATGAAATGTAATATAAAGTATGGTGCTATAGTTAATAACAATGTATTGAATGAATATTTGAAAGTTGCTAAGAGTAAATCTTAAAAGTTATTTTTTTTAAAGTCCTAATCACAAGAAAAAAATTTTTTTCTTAATTTTATTTATTTATTCATGATAGTCACAGAGAGAGAGACAGAGAGGCAGAGACACAGACAGAGGGAGAAGCAGGCTCCATGCAGAGAGCCCGACGTGGGATTCGATCCCTAGTCTCCAGGATCGTGCCCAGGGCCAAAGGCAGGCGCCAAACCGCTGCGCCACCCAGGAATCCCGAAAAAAAAATTTTTTTAAAGACTTTATTTATTTATCCATGAGAGACACAGAGAGAGAGGTAGAGACACAGACAGAGGGAGAAGCAGGCTCCCTATGGGGAGCCAGATGCAGGACTCAATCCTAGAACCACAGGATCGGGACCTGAGCCAAAGGCAGATGCTCAACCACTTGAGCCCCCTGGTGTCCCACAAGAACAAAATTTTTAACTACGTACGGTGATAGGTGTTAACTAGATTTCACAATATATACAAATCATGATGTTGTACACCTAAATCTTAATTAACATGATGTTATATGTCAATTCTACCTCAATTTTTTTTTTTTTTTTTTTTTTTTTTTTTACCTGAAAAGTCAAATTCCTTAATTGTCTTGTAAGGTCTTCTATGTGATGCTCAAAATTATTAGCACGTTCTTTTTCCAAATCCAACTGCTCTGACTGCTTGTCATATTCTAATAAAAGATTCTTCAATAAAAGACAAAAGGATTTAACTTCAGGCAATTATTATACATTCAACCAGTCGGACTGTATTATCAAGCCATATTGATATAACATTTGAGTCCATTCTGAAAGCTTACAGTATTTAAGTTCAATATTTAGAATATTTAACTGGCATTATATAATAAAATTAGCAAAATTCAGATGACTTTTAGTATGGGGGAGCTATTCAAAGGCAAAAGGATTTCACGTTTATACAATATTTAATATCTGTAAGCTAAATATTCTAGTCATCAACAAAAATAAACTTCTGAAACATAAAATTTAAAGTTGCCTACTAACTTCCACCTAAAGAATTCTGATGAGAGAAATATAGAGGTACTAATGGAAGAACAGGGGAAGATATTTTATAAAAAGGCTCATTCTCTGTGGCAAATGTTTACAATTTTCTGGACTCTAAAACCAAAGGAATTTTCTTAGTATTTCTGGTTGGCCCCTTCTGAAGAACAAAATACTCAGATCTTTTTGCAACATACTTGCAAATAAGGTTATCCTCCAAAATATGTACAATGAGATTGTTTCCAGACCGTGTGTGGATTTTTCCTCTCTTATAAATCCCATTTTGTTTTGTTCCTGGAGAACTACCTTCTGCTCTCCTTCATGTAAATGAATTTGTGTGCAAAATAACAAAACCCGAGTTCTCTTTAAATGTTTTTTTTGGAAAGCCTAAAAAGTGGCCTTCATCCAGACCAGAACTTTCATGTCCTTGGCTCTCCTCAGACTCCTCTGGGGTCTCATGTTTGACAATTATATGCTCTTTCTGGATCTTGCTTGCCAAATCTAATTTTGTTTCCAATTCTGATTTATACATAATCAACTATTATCCACACAGGTACCTAAGCATTAGAACCTGAGTTTCAATTTTATGGTCTACCCATCTTGTGATTGGCAAAAGCAGGAATTGGAAATCTAGAATCTTCTGGCTTATGTATATGTGTGTCCACGTTCACTTTTCTGAGGATTATTACTTCCTGGCATATTGAGAAATCATTTGTCTTGTTTTCCACACAGAGAAGATTCCATGCTTGTTTTGTATTTGTGTAGATTCCTCTAACTCTATAGATCAGAGATCTTTTTCCTCTTAAGCTCTATCAGGTCTTCTTTGTTTTTACTCACTATGGTTCTAACAGTTGTCAAGGACTGCAAAACTTGAATACTAAAGCTGACTGTAATAAATAATGGCTTTCTATAGGAAATTCTGACTATAATCACATATCATTCCTAAGGAGAGCATTGGAACAAAAAAATAAATGCCATACATGGCCTAATTTCCTTGACGCATTCCATTTTATGTATATATACATATGCCACATCTTCTTCATCCATTCATCCATTGATAGACATTTGGGCTCTTTCCATAGTTTGGTTATTGTTGATAATGCTGCTATAAACATTGGGGTGTACATGTCCCTTTGAGTATTTCTCTATCCTTTGGGAAAATACCTAGTACTGCAATTGCTGGGTCATAGGGTAGCTCTATTTTTAACTTTTTGAGGAACCTCCATACTGTTTTCCAGAGTGGCTGCACCAGTTTGTATTCCCACCAACAGTGTAAGAGAGCTTCCCTTTCTCCGCATCCTCGCCAACATCAGTTGTTTCTTGGTTGTTAATTTCAGCTATTCTGACAGGAGTGAGGTGGTACCTCACTGTGGTTTGGATATGTATTTCCCTGGGGATAAGGGATGTTGAGTATCTTGTCATGTATCTGCTAGCCAACTGGATGTCTTCTTTAGAAAAATGTCTATTTATGTCTTCTGCCCATTTCCTAACTGGATTATTTATTTTTTTTGGGTGGTGGGTTTAGTAAATTCTTTTCGATTTTGGATACTAACCTTTTACAGATATGTCATTCACAAATATCTTCTCCTATTACATAGGTACCTTTTAGTTTTGTTGTTTCCTTTGCTGTGCAAATAAGCTTTTTATCTTGATGAAGTCCCAATAATTCATTCTTGCTTTTGTTTCCCTTGCCTCCAGCAACATGTCAGGTAAGAAGTTGCTATGGCAGAGGTTAAAGAGGTTGCTGCCCGTGTTCTCCTATAGGATTTTGATGATGTCTTTTCTCACTTTTAGGTTTTTCATCTATTTTGAATTTATTTGTATATGACGTAATACAATGGTCGTTTCATTCTTCTGCATATTGCTGTTCAGTTTTCCCAGCACCATTTGTTAAAGAGACTGTCTTTTTTCCATTGGATATTCTTTCCTGCTTTGTTGAAGATTAGTTGACCACATAGTTGTAGGTCTATTTCTGGGTTCTCTACTCTGTTCATTGATCTCTGTGTTTTTGTGCCAGTACCACACTGTCTTGATCACTACAGCTTTGTAATACAGCTTGAAATCCACAATTGTGACGCCTCAAGTTTTGGATTGCTTTTAGTGACCATCATTCTTAAACATATCAGCACTGCTGATTTAATCTTAAATCCTGCTGTTTCATCACAAATGGAATTCCAACCTCACTCAAAGACTGAAAAGATTTTACAACTATAAAACCTATTTTAAAAACGTTTTAATAGACTTCATTTTTTTTTTTTTTTTTTTTAGAGTTTAGGTTCACACCAAAACTGAGAGGAAGGCACAGAGGCTTTTCATTATCCTTCCACATCAAATACAGAGCCCGACATTATCAACAGTCCCCATTACAGTGATACACTTATTATAAATGACAACCCTATACAAACACATCATCATCCAAAGTCCATGGTTTACATTACGGTTCATTTTTGGAGTTGTACATTCTCTGGGTTTAGACAAATTTAAAATGACATACATCCACCATTATAGATTATCACAGTTTCACAAACTAAAAAGAAAAAAACTTTTGTTCCACCTATTTATATTTATCCCTTCCTCCCCCAAACCCCTAGGAAACTTTTTTTTTTTTTTTTTAAACTGTCTTTTGCCTTTTCCAGAATGTCATATAGTTGGAATCCTACATTACATAGACTTTTCAGGTTGGTTCTTTTGCTTGGTAGTAGTATACATTTAAGTTTCCTCCATGCCTTTTCATGGCTTGATAGCTCATTTCTTTTTAATGCTGAATAATATTCCATTGTTTGAATGTACCACAGTCCATCCATTCACCTACTGAAGAGGACTTCAGTTGTTCCCAAATTTTGGCAATCATAAATAAAGCTGCTATAAACACCTATGTGCAGGTTTTTGTGTGGATATGTTTTCAACTCCATTGGGTAAATACCAACGGTTATTGATTCTATGTTAAGAACATACTTGGTTTTGTTAAGAAACTGCCACAGTTCTCACCAAATGGCTGTACTTACTATTTTGCATCCCCACTGGAGCTCCTAAGTGTTCCTTGCTCCATTTCCTTTTCAGCATTTAGTGTTGTTGGTGTTTCAGATTTTGGCCATTCTAAGAGGTGTGCAGTGGTTATCTCATTGTTTTCATTTGCACTTCCCTGATGACACATGGTGTGGAATATCTTTCATGTGCTTATCTGCCATCTATCTTCTTTGGTGCGGTATCTCGTAAATTTTTGACCTATTTTTTATTCAGGTTTTTGTTTTCTTACTGTTGAGTTTTAGTAGTTCTTTGCATATTTTGGGATAACAGTTCTTCATCAGATACATGTCTTTTGCAAGTATTTTCTGTTTCTCTTGACATTTTCAAAGAATGGAAATTTTTAATGTAAATGAAGTGTGTGTGTGTGTGTGTGTGTGTGTGTATATATATATATAAAATATATATATAAAATCAATTCTTTCATGGGTTGTACCCTTGGTGTTCTATCTAAAAAGTCACTGCCATACCCAAATTTATAGGTTTTGTCCTGTTATCTTTCAGGAATTTCATAGTCTAATGTTTTACATTTAGGCTTGTGATCTACTTTGAGTTAATTTTTGTGAAGGATATACGGTCTGGGTGTAGGTTCCTTTTTTTTTTTTTTTTTTGCATGTGCATGTTAGTTGTTCCAGCACCACTTGCTGAAAACATCATCTTTGCTCAACTGTCAAAGATCAGTTGACTATATTTATATGGGTGTATTTCTGAGCTCTCTATTCTGTTCGACTGATCTATTTGTCTATTCATCCACCAATACCACATTGTCTTGATAGCTGTAGTATTATAGGTGAGGTCAGGTTAACCCTTCCATTTTTTTTGCAATATTGTGTTGTTTTTTCTAAGTCTGACCTATATCATTTCCTTCTCTAAAGAACTTTTTACATTTGTTGAAAGGCAGGTTTTTCTTTGCCTATGAAGCATTTTTATTATGCAGTTATATCTTTTGTTCTTATCTCACAGTTCTTTGATACTCCATTCTCTTTTTTCAGTCTTTTGAAATCTATTATTTTAAACAAAGAATTTGACACACCTGGTCTACCTATGGAGGAAATTAATAAATTAGATTATGGTGTTCTTAAACACTTGAAAGAAGCAAGCTGCTAATGGTTTATAAAAGACAAGCCTATATTAAACTTTAAATAAGTGTATTAAAAAATGAATTGGTTAAATACCTTTATATATTAAGGATATTAATTCCTTGTCATATTTTCATGTTAATTTTATATTTTATACAGTTCAATCGCTTTTTTGGTAACTTTGTTAACTGCTTTAAGTTTAGCCAGAAATCAAGTGATTAAATGTTTTATACTAGGTTTTCAAAAATCCCTTTCACTTTTGACAAAATTCTTTAAATCCATCTAGAATTTATTTTGGTGTGTGGGAATGAAGTAAAAATCTAGCTCAATTATTTGAAGTAGTCATCTAATTCCTTCTTTGTTGGTTTCTAGGTTTTCAAATCTTACTGGGGTAGTGTAGCTTAGTTGGTATTAGAATAGATCTGGAACCAGGCTGCCTGAATCTAATCTTGGCTTTACTATGCTATTTGTTCTGTGAGTTGAGTCTCTTAATCTCTTTGTGCCTCATATTCCTTGCTTGTAAACTGGCAACGTTAGTTAGTAACATATTTCTTGGGTTTTTTTTTGAGAATTAAGTGTGATAAGATATGTAAAGGGCTTAGAAGAGAGCCTGGCCTAGAAGTGTTTGTTGTTATGCAGAAGTCTCCATGTCTTCTGTTAAATTAATGTCTTATTTTTACATCCAAAATGTATCAAATTATGATTTCATAAAAAAGTTTAGCATTTGCTAAAGCAAGATGTCCATTTTCTTTTTTCACTTTAAAAAATATTAAGTACTCTTGTGAGCTTATTTTCCATTTGAAATTTAGAATTAACAAGATTGCCCAATCCAAAAAAAATCCTACATTTTTTTAGTGAAACTGTTTTAGAACATATAAACCAATCTGAAAACTAATATTTCAAATGATAATAGTTGCCATATATATTTTTACAGTTTTCTTCACGAAGTGCTGAATTTTCTCATTAGAGTTCTTCCAAAAAATAAAATTTTTGGAATTTTCTTATTTCAGTCAGTCCCACATGGCTCACTCTCATCTTTACAATCACCTTTACTGTTCTACACAGTAGTTTCTTATATTTTGTCTATTATTGCCACTGAAATTTAAGTCCTAAAAGGCCAGGAATTTAGTGTATTTGATTGACTGCATTTCCCTAGTACTCACTATTTAGCCTGACTGTATAAATATTTGCTGGATACATAAAAGAATGTGATGGTATTTATCTTACATTTAGTGATTTCACTGCACTCTTGTTTTATTATTTTTTTAAAATAGATTCTCGTTAGGTTGACAAGCGTTATTACCTTCAAAAAATTCTTTCACTTTCTTTTAAACTTGTTCTTTGAGCTTCAAGGTTATTCACTTGGCCAGAATATAAAATAATAACAGTAATAATAGCCATCATTTTTGTTACTTATTTATTAAAAAAAAAATCGCAAAACAGAAATTTAGTTTTAAAAAACAATAGTTTTGAAGGAACTTTAAAGTTTAGACACTTAAAATCTTGATACTAGGATGCTACCACATTACACACACAAAAAAAACAATAAAAAAAAAGGATTTACAATACAAGGTGACTGTGTTAGGGAAAAGAGTTTTACATTTCTAGCATATTCTTTAACTTGGAAGTTACAAAGATAACTTGATATTAAAATAACTATTTTTACCTTATAGCTTTCTGCTCCTTGAATGAGATCTCTCATGGAAGTAGACAACTGATCCTTTTCTGATCGAACAGAGTCTAGCTCTTCCCGTAGAGTCTGGGCCTATTTTAAATATGATAAGAAGTTTTTTTATGGACAGAAAAACTAGATTTTCTAATATGTAAGATTCTTGAATTTTGCATTTTTAAGTCACTTTACCTCTTTTTTGCTAGAATCTAGTTCTTTCTTTGCCTTCACAGCAACTAGTTTTATCTTATTTATTTTTTCCTCTTTCTCTTTGGATTCTTTTTCCAGATATCCTAAAAACACAAATGAAAAAAATTATAAATTCAAAAAGAAAAAATCTAAATTATTTACTGAGGGCAGGCTTAGAAATTGACTTTTAATCTGGAACACAAAATCTGTAATTTGCAATTAAAAGTAATAAAATAAGTACAGAAAAGTATTAGTATCTATTTTTTAAAGTGACAGCTTAATTATGCATTACCTAAGCAAGGCAAACAACATACAAAATGCCCATTTCCTACAATCCATCAAAATAACCTACTTTAAAAAAAATCATTTCATAAGCAGCTAGAAATTGAAGAGGGTATTAGTACTCCTACTCCTTTAATATTAAAAGATTTCCGGGACACCTGGGTGGCTCAGCAGTTGAGTGACTGTCTTTGGCTCAGGGCATGATCTTAGAGTCCCGGGATTGAGTCTCACATAGGGCTCCCTGCATGGAACCTGCTTCTCTCTGCTTATGTCTCTGCCTTTCTCTTTCTCTGTCTCTCTCAAGAATAAATAAATAAAATCCTAAAAAAATATATTAAAATATTTCCTAGAGGGCACCTGGGTGGCTCAGTTAAGGATCTACCTTCGGCTCAGGTCACAATCTCAAGGTCCTGGGATCAAAGCTCATGTCAGGTTCCCTGCTCAGTGAGGAGTTAGCTTCTCCTTCTCCCTCTGCCCTTCCCCATCCCTTCTTGTGATTTCTCTTTCAAATAAACAAATAAAATCTTAAAAAAAAGAAAAAAAAGATTTCCTAGAAACTCAAGTATGGTAGGACTTTAGGTGGCAATTTGCAAATCAGGGTCATGTAGGGAAAATACCAGGCACAGTTAAATACTTAGGCTCGTAGGCACACTCCTCTTGGTTGGTAGGTATGATTTTACAACTAAACCATAATGTGTTTTACTATCCAATCCTGATCTCTCCCTTAATGTCTTTAGCCATCTCCTTTATTTTGACTTCTGTGTGCCAGATAGTTCTTGCTATTTCTGCTTAAATTACAATCTGAATTTGTGTCCTTGCTCATTAATCTAGTGCACCTGTGCTCACATCTTTTGCCTTCCTCTGCTGCTCCAGATGACTGTTCTGTCTCTCTCTGTGTGTGGCAACTGTTCTACTTCTGCATTTCATCCTATGTTCTCTCCAATTCAGGCATCAGTGCAGCAATGCTTCCTCTCTTTTGTGCAGCAAATCCCCCTAATGGATTTTTTCCCCTAATATGCAATAAGGAAAATATCAAGAACTTAAAGCCAAGATCGAACAGTGGAAGCACCAAAGAGGAAGGGAAGAGGCCACAAAAGGATTGGTGAAACATTACACACACAAAGGTAAATCACCACACTTCCCCTCTGGATATCATCTCATCTCTTATCCTGTGTAAGAGCTGTGTACACATGCTCTCAAATTTCTCTTCCTTCATTTTTTTTTTCTTGAATTCATTTCAATCAGGCTGTGGCCTTAGCATATCACAAAACAGGTTATCAAGTTACCAATAACCCTTATGTTGCTTAATCTAATGATTAGCTCATTGCACTAATGTTACTTGACCTATTACAGCATTTACCACAGCTAAGTATTTGTTCCCTCTTCAAACACTTCCATCACTGGCAATTCATTGGTCTTAATTTCCAAAACATTTTATGCTCTGGGGTTTCCTAACTTGCTGGATGTTCCTTCTCAATGCCCTTTGCTGTTCCAGTCTTTTGGATTTTTAAATGACAGAGAACTGTCTCTGGTCTTCATCTTTTTTCTACATTCACTTCCTTGGTGATCTCCATCTCATGCCTTTTAACGCAACTATTATGTTAACTAACTTTTTATGTCTGGTCCAGCTCCCTCTCCCTAACTCCAGATTTGCATATTTAGCAATCTACCTGACATCTACATTTTGGTTATTTAAACTTGCCTAGGGTGCACCGAGATGGCCCAGTCTGTTAAAGGTTTGCCTTCAGCTCAGGTCATGATCCCAGGGTCGTGGACTCCAGCCCCACATTGGGTTCCCTGGTCAGTGAGGAGCCTGCTTCTCCCTCTCCCTCTGCCTGCTGCTCCCCCTGCTTCTACTCTCTGTCAAATAAATAAATAAACTCAAAATAAAACCCAAACAACTTGCCTCAAACTTAGTTCTAATTACATCTAACTCCACTTGCCCCAATCATCCACTGCAAGAAAACACATTCATTATAAAATCTTCTAACTTCCTTCACCAGACAAACTCGGCACTAAAGAACTATGGTCACTTAAATATTTGTTTCCTTTCAGTGGAAATGAAATAGGTACCCCATAACGTTAATATGATGAAGATGTGTTAGGACAAAGTCCTAACTCCTCTGCACACATTCTATAGCTTTTGTGATCGGACTCCTGCCTCTCCAGGAACTTCTTGGTATGCTCCTTGATGTTATAGATGTTAACATGCATGTACCTGCTGTGCCCTTCTAGCAGAATACCTTTCTTCTCTTGTCAAATTTCTCATTCTTCAAGACACAACAAAAGTATAGCCCATTCTGTGATGTTGTCCTTATTCAAGACAGTTAATCATGCCTTCCTGCGCTGTCAGCACTATACCTTCTCCATACCTCAAGCTACTACAATAATAGCCCCTTCTGGCACTGAACTCTTTGAAGACATGGTCTGTATCTTAATCACTTTGCTATTACCAGGGCAGAAATAGGCTGGCATCAAAGTAAAGTTTGCTAAATGAATGAAAAAAAAAAAAAAATCCCCAAACAATCATGGAACCATTTATAAAGGGAATCACATCAGTCCTTTGGATTAAACAACAAATTGGTAATTTTGGCAGTAAACAAACTGCCAAACTGCAAACAGATGGCAGAGAAGCAAGAATGAGGACATTAGAAAGAGATAGCTAGTTATTATGATTTAATAACTCATTAATTGGCTACTACATTTCTCAATCTACTCTAATACTAGAAGAATCTGTATAATTTATTGCAACAACATATATAAAATCATACCTATTTTTTCTTCCAGCTCTTTTAGTAAAGAAGGTTGATCATTTTCTATGGGTGATTTCTCTAAGGAATCCTAGATTTTATAGGAAACACAAAAAGAAAATCACTTCATTCTCCACAAAGAACTGACCATCATGTCATGTACAAGAAAATCCTCATTAAAGAAAACACACAAAAAGCAATCTGATGACCAGGTTTTTTTTACCTTTATAGACCAGATAATACTGACATTATCATACATATATTTACTATAGAAAAACAGTAGCATCCAAGACCAAGATGAACAACCTGACACACATCAAACACATAATGTAATAAGGGAAAGGTTAAATGATCGCAGTTTATCATACTTTCATAAACTTTTTGGAGAAAAGTCTAAAATCTTGGCTAAAGTTAAATACTGCAATAGCCCACTTTTCTGCTCAACAGTGTACTTTAAGAAGGGTATATATATGTATATAACGCAAGAATGAAATCCAAGTCTTTTTCATGTAGTTCTAGTGGTGCCTAGTCGAACAATTTTGACACGGACATTTAACCCTCAAATTATTTAATCTTATGCAGGATCAAGATTTTAAAATGATTTAAAACCAGAAAGTCCCCAATGTGACTAGACGATACACAACATGAAAATGTTTAATGTACTTTCAGAAAATTGTCATTTGAGCTTAAATAATGAAACTTTACTTCTGACTTCAAAGTGTAAAATTTTAGTTTCATATTTTCTAGAATCTAGGACTAGAGCTAAGTGTTTATTTAAACTAATAAAATTAAAATAATAGTACCTTTAATAATAACAATTCTGCTCTCACATTCTGCAATTCAGCTTCTTTTTGTTCTAGTGATAACCTCAGATTTTCAAGTTCCTTTGCAAAAATTTGTTCTTCTTCATGGGTTTCATTTTTGCTACATAATTTTTGAGAGGCTTCTTCAACTTGACTTAAAAGATTCTGATTTTCGAGTCTTAGTTTTTCATTAACATTCTTCATTTCTAGCAGATCAGACTGCAAGACCTCTTTATGTGACAGGATTTCTTCTAACTCTTTACTTAAAAAAACTTTCTCTTGTTCATTGTCTCTGAGTAAAGACCGAAGTTCTTCACACTGAACTACATTCTCTTCTTGAAGGCACTTCATCTTTTTTTCTAACTCTGCTACCCTCTTATCATACTGAAAAATCAAGTTGTGTTTTTCTTCATTTATTTTAGTTAAGGATTCACCTATAGCTTGTAGGACATTCATGACATCTTGCTCTCCATCTTCTGAAGCTTTGGATCCCATCTGCTTAAGAAAACCATTTAACTGAGTTTTGACAAATAACTTCTGATCCTGCTCATTTTCAAACAGTGTACTTAAATTATCTCGTTCCTTAACTGTTAACTGAAGTTTCTTTTCTAATTCAGAAATGTGTTCCCTAAGCATAAAATCTCCTTCTTTTTGGGACAGAAGAGCTTCTAAATTCCTATTCAATTGGCTCTTTTCTGAACTTAATCTGTTATTTTCCTCATAAAGAGACTTGGCTTCAGATGACAGTGCTTCCTGGTCTTCAGACATAGCTTTTAATTGAATCATAAGCTTTTCTAGTTTTTGGTTATTTTGATCCTTTTCTTTTAAAGTTTCTTCTAGTTCTCCTGTTAATTCATTTACCTTTTGTTCTAGTTCAGTGTTGTACTGGCTACTTTGCTTCACTTTTCCCCTAAGTTCTATGATCAATTGTTCTTCCTTTTCACATTTCTTATTGAGATTATCCATCTCTTCATCAGATAATTTTATTTTACTTATGAAATTATTTTTTTCCTCAGTAAGAGAACTTATCTTTGCTTCAAAATCTTGTATCATTTTATCTCTCTGATGCAGACTAATTAAACATACTTCATTCTTTTCTTGAAGACTTTTTATGGTATTTTCAAGTTCTTGTACTAATTCTTCTTGGGATAACCTTTCATTTTCTCTCTGGAGACGATTCACAGTTTCAAGAAGAGCATCTTTTTCATTAAAAGCAGTTCTGAGCTTCTGTTGAAGTTCATTAACATCAGATGCTTGCTGCTGCTTCATTGATTCAAACTCTTGACTTATTTTCCCAGCAGATTCCCCCAGTTCTGTTTGTAAGATTTCCATAATTTCTCGCAAACTCTCATAATTTAAAATTGCTTCTTGCTTTTCTTGCTGTAGGTTTTCACACTGCTCCTTAAGACCCTGTATTTCAAACATTAATGTTAATTTTTCTTTTTCGGAGACTGATAAAAATGTCTCATTTAGTTCTGATATTTCTTTTTGGTGGTGTTCTTTAAGACTCTGCACTTCTTTATTATGTTGTTCTACAGTATAGCAAAATTGTTTATGTGAATCGTCTAGTTCAGATTTTAATTTTTCAATTACACAGCACTGTTCTTCTTTAGCTAGCAACAATTCATTAATTTTAAACTCCAAGTCTTCTCGTTCATGTAAAAACTCATCCTTTACATGTTGTGCATCAATTTCAAGTTTTAATTTAAGATTATTCATGTAAGTTACCTCATCTTTTAAAATACTATGTTGAGACTCCAATTCTTTTAAAGTATTTTCTAAATGTTTGACTTTTTCATTTACTACTTGTTCTGCATCTTCTTGTAAGACCAAAGGAAATGCCTGATTTTTGTGGTTCGCATTTGGGGCATTCTCTAAGTTTTCTAATTCACATTCACATTTCTCCTGAACGTACATCTCACTTGCCTTGCATTGTGTGACTAAATTATCCCTTAGCTGGTTTAAATTATTTACTCCTGCTTCATCTTCTTTAGCAGATGCTTCAATCTGGCACATCAATTCTTTAATCTGCTCTTGGTGTGTAGTTCTCAATTGCAAAATTTCTTCTTTCAAACCATTAATATCTTTTTGGTAATGCTGGGAATTAGCCTCAATGACTTCTTGGAGACGAGAAATTTCTTGCTCCTTTTCATTTGTAGCAGCTCTTAATTGGTTTTGCAGATATAAAATTTGCTCCTCAAAGGCTGGCCTGATATTCTGAATCTCCTCTTGTAGTTTTTTAACTTTATCCTCACAATCACCCTGAAATTTAAGTTGTTCAAAAAGTTCTAACTGTTTTTTTGTTGCTTCTTCCAGTTCCTTTTGCAAGCTAGCTTTATCTTCACTGTGTTTAGAATGTGTTATCATTAATTCATTTTTCAGATCTTCAATTTCTTTCACATAGTTTCTTTGTGATTGTTCAAACTCCTTGTACACATCTTCCATCTTAGTTACAGAATCCTATTATAAAAAAAAAAAACACACACAAAAATTACTTAAGACAAAAGATACACCTAACTGCCTTCAGGAAAAATATTAGCCACAGGCTAATTAGAAAAGTGAACAAAAATGTACATAGAGAAATATGATATTGAGATTCTAAGAATTCTGTGCAGGTGATTAAATATGTTATTCAAAGTAATAACTAAATAAACAAAACCTAAAAAGTAATAACTGAAAATAAGAAATCTCTGAATTTAATTTCCTTTTAAAAGGTGCTCAATTGTGTAAGTTATATTAAGTCACAATGACTTTAATTAGCATCTCCTGAGTACAATAATAAAGGATTTTTTAGAAAATTAACTGAGACCCAATAGGCAATTGAGCATCCTAGAACTGAACAGATAATAATATTTAGAATGTGTGTGAAAATCAACTTACTTAATAAGTACTATTTCACAAAATAAGTATTTTTATTAATTTTTAACAAAGACTGACATAGCAATAAGGAAGATTAAGCAATGCAACAACATTGGCTCCATCTCCATGTAGCAAGGTGATTTTTTCTTTTTTAGGTATCAATTTGTTTTCTTTTAAATTATTAAAATCTTCAGATCAGAAGCTTGTTAAGGTCTTAGCTCTGAAAATCCTCACTATATTAGTCAACAAATAAAAAACATTAAGTTGTTACTTTACCTCAATCTCTTGCTTCATTTGAATATTTTCCTTCTTCAGACAAAGACACTGTTGCTCAGTCTCTGCTTTTTCCAGAAGAATAGCATCTAGACGTTCAGTCAATGCCTGTTATGGAATAAGATGATTTGTTTGCTGGAGTTTAAACATGGTGGATTGACCACATGCGTAATTTTCTCTTCACCTTTTCCAAAGCTCACTAAAGTAAGGATAACAGATTTAAAAAGGTCTATACATAAGCACAAGGAGAAAAGGTGAAAAAGAGGTGAGGATATGGGAAATTTCACCATATATTTGAAAACTGAAAAGTAGGGACACCTGGGTGGCTCAGTGGTTGAGCGGCTGCCTTTGGCTCAGGGCATGATCCTTGGGTCCAGGGATGGAGTCCCACATCGGGCTCCCTGCAGTGAGCCTGCTTCTCCCTCTACCTATGTCCTCTGCCTCTCTCTGTGTCTCTTATAAATAAATAAATAAAATCTTAAAAAAAAAAAAAAGAATAAAGAAAACTGAAAAGTAGAGGAGGAACTGAATTAGAAGAGCACAGTATAACCTAAAGTGCCTTCACAGGGAAGCACATATGAGAAGCTGGCAAATGCTATAGGAAAGTAAATGCTTGGAATGTGGAGGCTCCAAATACTTAACAGTATTTGTTTCCCTTAACAGGGAAGTATATAATATGTGGGTTTCAAAAGCTGGAGATTGGTTGACAATCTGAGTAGGGAGTGGTTAGAATAATAGATCACCCATGTCTTGTCTTCCTCAGAGACAGATTTGTTCTCTGCAGAAATTAAACAGGACAGGAAAGTAATGAAACAGAAACTAGATCAACAAGAGTCAGTTCTTTGAAAAAAATGCTAAATGAAACAACCTCTAGCAAGACTGACCAAGAGAACACAGAAGTCATAAACACGAATAAAAAGGAAACATGTCTACATATAAATCAGAGATTAAATAGTTAAAAAGATTATGAACAATTATATGACAATATCAAAAACTGAAATCAAACGAATAAACATTGCTAGAAAAATATAGCTTCACTAACTCAAGAAAAAAAATTAAAAAGTATAATTAATACAATAACTATTCAAATCAATCTAGTGGCTTAAAAACTGTGGACTACAGGAAGGACACATTGAAACTCTTACAGGTGAATTCCATCAGATTTTCAAAGAACAAATTATTCCAATTACACATGAACTTGTCCAGACAAAAAAAGAAGCAATGTCCAAGTTATTCTATAAAATTTGCATAATTAGATACAATTATCCAAAGACTTTACAATCAGGAAAATCATAAATCCAATCCACCGTGAATCTGGACAAAGGTAATCCTCAAGGTTAAAATCTAGATAAACATTAAAATCATAAATAAGTATTAGTACACTATCACCCTAGATCTGCTTGCCTCTGAACTTTCATGAAATAAAGAAAAACTTTATGAAAAACAAAACAGATGCAGAAAATTTAGAGTTCAAGTTACAGATATTATTCAAACGGGTAGAATAAAGCCATTCTTAAATATGGGATAACAATCTTCCTTCCAGGGCAGCCCTGGTGGAGCGGCGGTTTAGCGCTGCCTGCAGCCCAGGGCATGATCCTGGAGACCCTGGATCGAGTCCCATGTCAGGCTTTCTGCATGGAGCCTGCTTCTCCCTCTGCCTGTGTCTCTGCCTCTCTCTCTCTCTCTCTGCATCTCTATGAATAAATAAATAAAATCTTTAAAAACAAAACAAAACAAAACAAAATTTTCCTTCCATAAAACCCTCAGAGTGCTACGGAAAGACATGCTTTACAAAGATGAGGTTAACTAAGAAAGTGAATGATATGTAACCAAGCAGACGGGGGGCCAATATAGGACAGCAGTGTAGAAACACAGGATCATAGCACAAGGCCAATTTCAGGAAATCTGTGTGGCAGAACTAGAAAACAACCAGAAAAATTTGTGCAGAACAGATGGCTCTAGTTAGGAGGTGGTCCAGGAAAAAATGGAAAAGAGTATTTGATCTATTTGACCTTTGGAGAGTAGGAGTTGTGAAAGAGCTAAATTTTCATCTACTGTAATAGCAATAGCTAAATGTCTAAAATGGATAAATCAAGGAATAGCAGTATAACCATATTATTTAGAAACATAGAAATATTCCCAGAAATTATTTAGTGTTATAATGAGTCATTTAGTTATTAGCATTATTTATAAACCATATGCATATATCATTTTGGTTAAAACTATTTTAGTTTTAAAATTACTTTTTTTAAATTACATAATACATTGCAATATAAACTTCTGATTGGTAAATATCAGGGAAAGCCTAAATAACATTCATTAATTTTAGAAGATTAATAGAGGCCATTAACAAAACAGCTGTTAAAAAAAAAAAAGACGATTAGAAGCACAGAATGGAGAGTTAATTGTCAGGAAATATAGATTTGATTCCAGTAAAGAGACAGTTACAAGGATGACATGTACTAGAAATTTCATTATCTTAACATGCAGTTTTCACCTTCCCCTTGCATTTGGAAGCAGTATATAAGTTCACTGTAATACGATACACCTCAAATTCTGGTATGGAAAAGACTATTATTCCTATTTTTAAAATAACAGTCAAACATGTCAGCTTTGAATAAAACTTTAGATGTATCCCAATGCACTAAAAGATCATTACCAAAAATAAGAGGAATTCCAGAAATTTTAATTACAATTAAAACTTGAAAAATGCCATACATTTTAAATGTTATATTGCAAACAGAAATTCTGTATTCAGAGTCACATTTTTCCAGTGTATTTTTCCCAATGAAGAGACAAAAACTTAGCAAGCAGCTTTCCAAAGGTACATGTAGAAAACCTATTATATTGCAGTATAGGATCTTTTTTAAATAGAAAAATTAACTGAAAAATTAACTGAAAATTAACTGCATCTCTTTCAATCACTCCCTAAAGCATTCTCTCATTAGAATTAAAAACCAAAGGTTTTATTCATGAATTTTGATTCATGAATTTTACCAAACTTACTGTCTGAAACTTGGTGAGGATAACATGCTCAAATATGAAATTAACCTGAAAAGTAAAGCTCATTAACTCAGAGAAATTTTCTAATCTCCTCTTAGAAATTTTACAGAAAGAAGAAAACACTGATTGGGGATAAGGAGGAAATAGGGGCAGTTATTTAGATATTCTGGAATGCAGCTATGTAACAAGTGTTTCAAGGGCTAAGAGTTAACATACTAAATTAGAAAGAAGTCTCTGTGGATTTCTCTTCAAATACAAAAACATCCTTTTAGTGAGTATGTATTAAATACCCCCCAGAAATATATGGCAATAGCATAATATTCAATAAATTATTGAGAACTTATGTGACAGATGTAATTTTAAGTGCTATGTGTATATTAACTCAAAATACAACACCTTTATGAAAATACAACACCTTTATATTCTCTAGTCTATAGATGAAGGAACTGCAAGGAAAGGAACTTAGCCATGGCCACGTAAGTAGTACGTGGCAGAGCAGGGACCCAAAGATCTGAATCAGGGTGTCTGGCTCCAGATCAATACTCTTAGGTAAATATCAAGTAGTTTTACTTCAGCTATCACTGATTAAGAAAATACAAAATAACCAAATAAACAAAGAAAACTACTATGAATTCACTAATACTCAGGTAAATCAGTACATTGTGAATCCAAATGGTATTTATGTACACTATGCATACTTCATATACTGTCTTGGCTAAATGAAGAACAAAACAATAGTGTATGATATACACTGAGACTTTTTAAAGCTTTCTTAGAGTATTTCTCTGTGGGTCCTTCAATTGTACATTGCTCACAGTTGGGGGCTCCCCCCCCCAGCAAGAAAATGACTTATAAGCTTATAATCAAAGAACAAATAGCAGGACTCAAATTATAAATATAGAACAGAAAAACAGTTATTGCAGAGCTTTGAGAAGTAAAAGAAACTCTAAAGGCTAGGGTGAGCTGGGAGTGGAGGAGGCAGTTAGTTAGTATTAAGGGCATGTCAGTAAGAAAAAGCAATTCAGGTTCTTTGACAGGGAACAACAAAACCAGCATCAGTAAGAGCATGCAAAACTAAAGAGAGCCTGTTTAGGGAGGTATCAAATAAGTCAAGTATGACACAAGGCATTTACCATATAGCCATGGAAATGGAGAGAGTACTGATAAGCTGCAGTGTTATCCTGAAGGAACTATAGGTCACTGGTGGCTGACACATGCAGAGGATAAAAGAAAAAGGAAAACTGGAGTCTCTAAAATTAAAAGGGCTGAAAAACAGTGCTGTCCCTGGTTGTCTAGGCAAGGGGATTTGGTCATGCTGAACATAAAACAAGAAAAATAAGCAAGTATTTCCTTCTTCAAACAGCCAGAAATGTCACTAGTCACATTCAGGAATATATATATATCTACTAACAGATTTTATGTATCTATCAGCCTAAAAATCATCATCAAAGTCCTGAACATGAGTTTTCTGAGGGAGAGAGGGAAGAGCCGGGCTGTGATTAAGGCAACCCCCTAATTACATTGTGTATGGGATGAAGACGAGAGGAATGCTCATTTCAGAACAGAAAGGGACGAAGAGATCATTTAACTCTTTTTACAGTCAGAAAGGTAAAAAAACTTAACCAAGGGCAGGGAGGAAGTGGAAAAACAGGGACAGAAAGCCAGACAGGACTCTGGCACACTGAAAGCTTTAAAGGAAATTTGATTTGTCATTAGGTATTTCCTCTAAGTAAATAAATAAAAATTTAAGCAATATTCACAACTGTTGCATTACCTTAATAATATCATCAGCTCCTCCAGCAACAGGTTTTGATTTCAGTTCTTCAATTTCTTTCTCCAATTCTAAATAATTAAAAAAACTCCAGTTCAGAAATGAAGAAAATCGTCTAAAGTGATAAGCACATATTTTTAAGAAAAACACAAAAAAAACTACTATAAGTCAGAATTCATTTAAGCAGCAGATATTTTGAGAGAGTATTAACTTTACCCAGTATTACCTTTTTTGTCTTTTTTCTTATGGAAAACTCCAGATAAATAAGAAAACTAGAATAGTTAATACACCCATCACCTTAATTTAACAATTATTACACGGACTCTTGTTTCATTCTGATCTGTATTATCTTCTCCCTTTTCCTTTTTTCTTACCCACCCTGATATTTTTGAAGCAAATCCCAGACATATTATTTTAGCTGTAAATAACTTCTTTATAATCTTAAAGCAACTACTTAACCTCAAATTAAGCATAAAGGCTAACCTATTTGCCAACTTATGTCTACCTCTGGAGCCTAGAATATTTTTCCAAAGACATTAATCTATCACAAGCTGATCTAATCTTTCTAAATACAGTTTGACCTTTTCTGGTAGAAAATCTTGGCTTTTAGGCTGGGCAGTTAAACATTTGGTAGTCATTGGAAATTCATGGCCTTACCACACATATTAAAAAGGATACTAATTTCTACATCCTTTTGGAATATAAAGGTGAACAGGCAATCAATCCACTTCAGCAACTTCAGCAAATAAATATACTTAAATATTCAAGGAATGGAAATCTTTTATTACTCTATTTGAGGCCTCTTTTTTCTTCTTTGGGATCACAACCTTAGGTCTTTAACATTTCAACTGATTGCTCTAGAAAAAAAGTGCTTTTTCAGATCAATACACTGCAAATGAAGTAAAAAAAAAAGTGCTTCATTTTAACAAATTGTTTTTTTTAAGACCCTCTTCCATGACTTTAATAATTCAAAGATTACTGCAGTTTAGAGATGTGAAATGGTTAAAAAAAAAAAAGAATATAGACAAATGGTTAGAATGTAAATAATAATAATTTCACTTACTAAGATTTTATTGGATTCACTGGTAAACAAGATAAGCCAATATACTATTAAAAATCTACTACTTTAGGGATGCCTGGGTGGCTCAGCGGTTGGGCGCTAGCCTTGGGCTCAGGTCGTGATCCTGGGATCCTGGATTGAGTCTCACACCGGGGTCCCCGTGAGGACCCTGCTTCTCCCTCTGCCTGTGTCTCTGCCTCTGTGTCTCTCATGAATAAATAAATAAATCTTTAAAAAGTAAAACTACTTTTAACCATGTTTCAATGAGATTGTGGGGAAAGATGAATATTTTCAACTCAATACCTGCACATCGGGATTTAGCTTTCTGTATTAGCATCATCTGCTTCTTGGCAAACTTGATAAGATCTTCCTTAGGCAATGTTTCCAGCTGAAAGGTGTAATGATGTAACCAATTTGTTATAACTCATGTTTCTATTATGCCACAAAAGAAACATCATGCCACAAAAAAAAAAAAAAAAATCCCACTGAATAAATCTTTAAGTCCACCAAACCGTATTGTAAAAATTAGGAAATGCAATTTTAACTCAGTAATTAACTTGTTAAGCAACTACTATGAAATGTAAAACACAGTACTATTCTCTCTCTTTTTTTTTTTTCACAGTACTATTCTCTTATGTACATATACTCTTGGTTAGGTTAAGACTCTTCTGGGTTTTGATTTAATTGTAAAATTAGGGGACTGGGACTAATTCAAGTTCCTGTAAAATTATTCTAATCCAGACTGAATAAGTCTTTGTTACATGAAAATATGTAAGCATAATTACAGCAACAAGAGGAATCAGGATGCATTAAGTCTTTTCAAGAAATCAGGGAAATTGGGAGGCCTGGGTGGCTCAATCCGCCTTTGGCTCAGTTGTGATCCTGGGGTCCATGGATCTAGTCCCATATTGGGCTCCCTACATGGAGCCTGCTTCTCCCTCTGCCTCTCTCTCTGTGTCTCTCCTGAATAAATAAATAAAACGTTAAAAAAAGAAAAGAAAAAAGAGACCAGGAAAATTACTTAACCCCTGGGCTGTTTTCTCACGTGTAAAATCTGAATAAAAGTACCTGTGTTACCATTTAAGCTTACCGAAGCTTAAACGAAGTAACTGCGTGCTCCGGTTAAGTGCCAAAACCTTAGTATGCAAGCACTAAACCAGTGTCTTTTTACAATCATTGAATGTTAAGCCTAGTATGAGGCCATAAAAATTACCTAATTCAACTTTTTTTTTTTGCATCGTAGGAGAAGTCTAGAGAATAGTCCCTTGACTCCTTCTTACTTGACTCTTTCCACTATATAAATCCTTGCAGATTAGACTACTTTGTCTGAAAAAATGCAGAATATCTGGCAGTGCTAACCAGGACTACTAAGTAAACAAAGTCAACTCTTCATACCAGGAAACTTGAAAAAAAAAAAAAAATCCATCCACCACCAAGCAGATTGGTCACTGTGTGAACTAAAATCGGGACCCCTTGGAGAAGGATTTCCTTTCAACAGGCCGCCCCCTGTCCATTCATCACCCTTCCAGTCTTCAGGGAGCCCGCTACTCAAGCACTGTGTTCTCTTCACCTTGGATTTCCCGGTCCCAGGGGCGGCTGGTGACGCCACCCCATCTTGAACAGGATCCTGCAAAACAAAATCAAACCTAGGTGTCACAACTCCTCCTAATCCCAGACGGACCGCTCCCACGTGAGAAAGAATCAGGGAGCGAGGAGTTTGTCGCTGAGGCAAATTGTATACAATCAGGCTGTACAGGGCCAGGTCATCGCGAGGGACTGTCTGGGGCCCGGCGGAGAGGCCGGGGCAGCACCGGGCTGGGGGCACGGGGGCGGGGGGGAGGCTGCCAAGCCCTCCGCGATGCTCAGGCCCGTGCCCCAAACCGCGGCGCGACAAGGCCCGGCGGCGAGGTGGTGGGCCCCGCTCCCAGTCTGGCTGCCCCAGCAGCGTTACCTCCATGGCAGCGGACCCGCAGCGGCCACGCGACCCCGCAGCCCCGCAGCCGCGCAGCCCGGCCGCCGCCGCCGCCGCCGCCGCCGCCGCCTCCGCACTTCCGTCTGCGGGCGCCTCTGACGTACCTCGGCTGCAGGTTAAAGGTCGCGCTCTTCGGAGTGGCCCCACCCCCCGCGTCTCCATAGCGACAGCCCGGCGGCACTTCCGCTTCCGCTCCTGCTCCGGGAGGCGGGTCCCCGTGTGCTCCGCCCCCGCTTCCGCTGTGCGGCCGCTGCTCCCTGGGGGACGGTGCGTTTTCCCTGGGTCGCTGGGCCGGTTCGGCCTGTGGGGTTAGAATCCTGACACGGACACTATTAGCTATAATCGAGGACGTGGTCCTTCAGGGCCTGGTTTTCCATCTCCTAAGTTCTGTGAGGATGAGCGGGGTGCCGACCTGGGGGGCGGGCGCTCCCATGAGACCGCGGAAGTCGGGGCGGGGGGGGGCGGGGGTTCCTAGGCAGATGGTGGTCCAGCGGGGCGCCGTGTGAGCCCAGGGCGCCCGCGGGGCCGACGGCCGAGAGGAGGCCCCGGAGCTGTGCCCACGGGGCGGGGAGGCCTCCCGGACGTGGGGAGCGGAGCAGCGACGGGGGAGACACCAGGCAGGAGAAGAGAGCAAGGACCCTCATTCCCAAGGCACGACCGCTAGATGTGCTGCTGCAGTGGCCGGAGCTACCGTTGTGTCCCGCCTGCTGTTTTTGCTGAAGTGGTTTGCTGTCACGTCTCCTTTCCCATCACGTCGTCTACAACAAAGCTCCTTACCTGGGTAGTTGGCGTATGCAGCTTAGTTCCCTGGACTTTGGTAGGGCTATAGCAGTGTGTAGACGCAGCCTACGGCAGTATCGAAGAAACGGTAGCTAATTATTACTATGTAAGGAGAGAGTAACTAATAAAGAACGATTACAGCAGGCAGCATAGCGGCCTCCCCAGCATCTGCTCCTCTCTGACAGCAGGACCCGGCCTTGGCGACTCAGGGATAGTGCCTGATGTAAGGTATACAGTCAGTGACATCTGGCATTTCTAGTTCATATTTTGGTTAAGTGATACTGTTTCTCTCTTTCTCTGAACGTGATTGAAGAAACATACAGTCCCGATTGCTGTTGGTGGACATTTGCCACCGTTGATGTAGTTTCGGAATGTAGGTGAGGTTTGTGGGGTGAGGTCTAGAGCCAATGACCAAGAAAGAATTCTTGAGACCTCTTTGGTGCAGACTGGTGGTTTGATTAAAGCATTGGGACAGGACCGGTGAGCTGGAAGAGCAGCTGCCCTGGGGTTGTGAGGGAGACTGATTTCATACTTGGGAGTTGAGGGAGGTAAGGAGAAGATAGGTTTCCAAAAGGATTTTCAAATGCTAAAGAGGACCTACAAGATTCTGGAGACTTTGCCATCACCAAGTTAAAGGCTGTTTTAACAACCTTGGGAGCTTCCTGAGGAACGTCTCAACCACGCAGGAGTGGAGGTGGGGTTGGTTTAAAGGGTGTCAGCCTGTGCTTTGTCCTCAGCTAGCCTTCTGCTCCCTCATCACTATGATGGGACGCAGCTTGAGGACAAAATTGAAGATCAGGGAAAAAAAGACGGAACCAAGACAGTCACAGAAGAATGAAGCTGGAGTGTTGATCAATCCATAATGAATGAGTCAATAAACCGTCTTCATTATGTGAGCCAGTTAGCATTGGGATTTACTGTTACTTGTAGCAGCAGTGTACATATCTTGGGAGGAAATTTTTGCCAACTTGAGAAAAACACAAATTCTGTATTACTCCTATATTATTCTGCATTATTGTTTCTGTATAATGAGCTACTCGAGAATGAATCCGTATATCCGGACATTGTGCGATGTTGTAAAATGAATGGCTTTCTTGGGGACTAGAAAAATAATCTCAGACGACTTTTCAAAAAACTAGCAACTAATGCCTAAAAGCCATGAAACATTTTAATGTTTTTATGGCAGCAAGTTGACTATTAAAGAAGAGTGAATAAATAGTTTGGCAGGTAGAATTAGAAAGAGTCAAAGACTTTCAGCAGCCTTTGGAGAAAAAAGAGGACTTTCTGTTGCGCTAGATATAGCAGGCACTCTATGCCTGCTTAAACTTATAAACTTAGTTGGATCTATTAGTTTGATGTAGAAAATGATCAGTGTGATGAGGGAGCTGGGGACAAAGTACAACCTGACACCCTGAAATCCACCCCACTCCCCCCCCCCACTTCTGAGTGGTTATGTGTGGCATTCCTCCAGGAAGCTCCCAACTGTCTTAATGTTAATGCCTGGCTAGAGGGGAAAACAACCTTGATAGGATCTTGTAGGTCCTCCTTAGCATGTGAAAATCCTTTTGAAACTTTCCTTTTCCTTACTTCCCCCAACTCCCAAGTATACTATCAGCCTCCCCTCACAACCCTGAAGCATCAGCTCTTCCTGCCCCCCAGGTCCTGTCTCCCATGCTTTAATCAAACCACCAAAGAATTCTCAAGAATTCTTTCTTGGTGGTTGGCTCCCTACCTCACCCCACCAACCCTCACCTATATTCTAAAATTACGTCAAATGGATTGGAACTTAAAGTCAATTTTTTCCAGGTTTTGAGTAAGCTTAGACCTGAAACTACAGTGATATTTCTAATATAAAAGAATCTATCTTTATTTTTCCCCTTCCAGTATGAGATCTGATCTAGGTTCATATTGCATTTAATTGTCATGTCTCTTTAGTCATCTTTAAACTGGAACATTTCCACAGACATTTCTTGATATTTTACAAAATTGACATTTTTGGTTCTTTTCTATATTTAACTATATAGAACTATATATATAGTATATATTATATTAAATATATATAATATATATAACTATAACTATATATAATTATATTTAAATATATATCTCCTTCAAACAACCAAGCTCAGGGGATCCCTGGGTGGCGCAGCGATTTAGCGCCTGCCTTTGGCCCAGGGCGCGATCCTGAATACCCGGGATCGAATCCCAGGTCGGGCTCCTGGTGCATGGAGCCTGCTTCTCCCTCTGCCTATGTCTCTGCCTCTCTCTCTCTCTCTCTCTGTGTGACTATCATAAATAAATAAAAATTAAAAAAAAACAAAAACAAACAAACAAAAAAACAACCAAGCTCAAAGATACGGAGAACAGATTGGTAGTTGCCAGAGACAGGAGGTGGGGAGTGGGTAAAATGGTAAAATGGGTAAAGGTGGTCAAAAGGTACAAACCTCCAGTTATAAGATATTATTTATCATGGGGATGTAATGTACAGAACGGTGACTATAGTTAATATTGTATTGCATATTTGAAAGTTTCTAAAAGAGTGGATCTTAGAAGTTCTCATCACAAGAAAAAAATTGTTTTTGTAACTATATATGGTGATGGATGTTAAGGACACAATGGTGATCATTTCATAATATATACAAATAGCAAATCATTATATTGTACGCCTGAAACTAACATATGTTATATGATTAGTGTCAGGTTTAATTCGATGGGTAGTGAAATAGAATAAAGAGGCCAGGCAAAAGTTGGTGCAACAGGCTTTTAATGGGAAGCACTCTTGGGCCAGATTCCCTGCCCGCAGGGGAGGGGTGGGGTGGGGAGTATCGCCCAGACAAACCGCAGTGGGGGGTCTATAGAGAGTTTTCGGCGGGAAGATGGGGGCAGGGCGGCAAGGCGGCATTATTGGGAGGTTGCTGGCCTGGGGTCGGCCGTTTTGAGGTCCCCAGTCTCGCCAGCCCAACAATTAGAGTTATGTCTCATTTAAAAAATAGAATTTAAGGCAGCCCAGGTGACTCAGCGGTTTAGCGCCGCCTTCAGCCCAGGGCCTGATCCTGGAGACCCGGGATCCGGTCCCACGTCGGGCTCCCTGCATGGAGCCTGCTTCTCCCTCTGCCTGTGTCTCTGCCTCTCTCTCTCTCTCTCTCTCTGTCTGTCATGAATAAATAAATAAAATCTTTAAAAAATAAAAATAAAAGAAGAATTTAAAAAATTGACGTTTTTGGAGACTGTAGTCCTCACTTTTATTTTTTTAAATTAGCATTCAGTAAAGTTGACTTTTCTTTTTGCATATAGTTCTTTGAATTTTAATACATGTACAGACTTATGAATCACTGGGACAGTCAGCCTGCAGAACAGCTTTACTATCTCTCAAAATTCCTTCCTACTACTCCACTGTAACCACATACTCCTCCCATTCCTAATCACTGGCAACCTCCATATTGATTCTTCATCACTATTGTTTTGTTGTTTCATGAATGTCTTATTAATGGAAACTTGCAGAATGAAACCGTTGAGACTGCCTTTTTTCTTAGCGAAATACATTTGAGATTCATCCAAGTTGTTTCACTTAGCAATTTGTTCCCTTTTGTTGCTAAAATTCATTATATGGATATACCATAATTTTTTATCCATAGGGTACATACCTAGAAGTTGAATTTGCTGGCTTCTATGGTAAGCATATGCTTAACTTTTTAAGAAACTGCCACGCTTTCATCCTGATCATTTCATAGGACGTGGCAGAGAAGAAATGATTCTTTTCTTGGGACAGCCACATTTAGTGACCAACTGCCTTAGTAAGGTATGCAGACCATGATATGAGGGAAATGGTCAAAAACCTTTTCCTTTTTTTTTTTTTTTAAGATTTTATTTATTCATGAGAGATACACAGAGAGAGGCAGAGACACAGGCAGAGGGAGAAGCAGGCTCCATGCAGGGAGCCCGATGTGGGACTCCATCCTGGGACTCCAGGATCAGGCCCTGGGCTGAAGGCAGCCACCAAACTGCTGAGCCACCCAGGGATCCCCAAGGTCAAAAACCTTTTCGAGTTGATTTATATGGAGGCTGTTTCAGTGTTTAAGGATAGATACCAAATACCTGTGGATGGCAGGAAGTATGGAAGATCCATTGAATACCTGGTCAGCCCATTGTTAAATAAGCTTTTTTGATAAATGATGTCTATGGTCAAGTTCTAAATTGTCCAGAAAACCAAACACACAATAATGTAGTGATCTCAGGGTCACAATAGAGTGACTGTGGTTGGCTGGTTACGCTGAAACAACAGCACCATAACCTTAAAA